AGGAATCTGGTCGGTCGCCGTCTGTCCAAACAGTGTCGCTACAAGTAAATTAAAATATAAGACTAGTTTGAATCCGTTTGAAATTCCTTTCTTGAACATTTTTTGATCTACAAAATAACAAGGCAAGAGTTTAATAAATCCACGTGGTTTATAGATTACGTTTAACTGATGCAGACACAGCAAATACATGTCCCGCGCCCATGGTCAGCTTGCGTGCGGAGTAAAACGATCATTTCCTTGTTGGGGACTAACGAGAGCAATCAATTTCGTGCAAAAGGCAGTGCTTGATGACTGACAAACAATTCTCAACTTCAAAATTAGAACACACGCAAGTTTATTGAATTACCTATTTAAAATTTTTAAATACCGTTGCCTTGACCTAAGGTACTTTGACCTGCATCAAATAATTAATTTAAAGCACAAAAAAAACCTACTCTATGAAATTCAATTACTTTTCTACATTTAAGTTTTGCTACTAGACCCTGAGTTCCGAAAATTTCAACTTAAAATGGTCTCAAACGACTTTACCTTGTGTCAACATAAAAGGACAGGAATGAAATTCCGCTTTCGTACCGTCTAATATATACATTTTCTTCCGCATGTATTATTCCAGTTTCTCTCTGACCCTCGGGTGTTTGAAATACCTTGCTTACAGCTACGATTTCGAACCCACTTACTTGACATATTACGGGATAACCTTCAGTACCGTTAAGTATCACTGTTCCATTCACACCCGTTATCAGATGGACGAAAGTATTTTTTAAACCGGAAATATTCCAGATTACCTCAAACCTCGTGGTTTAGATTAAGTCTTGCAACTACCACATATAACTTCTATCTTACACCTTACTCTGAAAAAATAACTGAGGAAATACACGCCGCAGAGGAAGAAATCAGTTGTTACTTTTTGTATTCAGCAAAACAAACTCAACTCTGACTTTTTAATTTTGTGTTCTACCTGTTCAGTCTTGTTCTTCTGCAAATTTCTTCTCTATAGAAGGTCAAATCTGTTATGTACTTTCACTAGAGGGGTGGCTTTTTTAAGAGAGTGGACTTGCACGTAAAATTTTGATGCGCAGCAACAGTGGTTTCAACATGGCGAGTTTCAATTTCACGCGAATTGGCCTAAACTAGCTTAAGAAACATCACTCGCTAATATTCTGTCGGGCAGGAAGATCGTGACGAGGAGTGAGGGGTCGTGGTAATGATGTAAAAGGAGCGGTTTGGGTCAACAGGTTTCTGATTGAGTATTGCTCGATATTGGTTGGTTCGATTTTTTAGAAAGATAAATATTATACACCCAAACGATCGTCCAATACCGAAGGGCTATAACGGTAACAAAGTCAGTCATAATGGACACAATTATTAGTCCTACTATTTACGAATTTTGATTTAATCTCTATTTATTCTTAAAGATCGATTGATCTACTTATTCTGTTTTTAAGGTTATTATTTACGAAGGTTCTAACCACAGACAAAACTTGTAAAATGTAAAATAAAAGAAACCTTGGCAAGAAGCGTCACTAGTTTTGTCCCTGAGCGAAACTGAAACTGTTCCAGATTGCTTGCCCAATGTTGTGATTTCTTTTACCAAAAGAAAGTCACTTAAAGTGATAAAAAGCGGGCTGAAAGCAATATTAATATATTGACAATCAGATAGTTTTATCAAGCAGCAACAGTGATAAAAAAATCTTCGTTTTGAAGGATTAGCGTAAGAGTTGTTCAAACCTACAAACGTCTGAAAAGCTTAATACTCAATAAACTGCCTACCTACCCCTCCCCTAAGTCAACATTAACGCTTACTTCTCACTTAGGGCAAAATGTTGGGTTAGATGAGGGGTAGGCGACTCTTTTTGAAACCTCTCTAAAAGGGCCACCTCTCCACAACAGCAACGGGGACTAAAGCGTCTCCCCAACCTGCCAAAATAATCTCTCGACAACGGCCAGTTTTTCCAACCACTGATGAAAAAGTCAAGAATGTTGATGAAATTTGATCCGTAAGGCGCGTTGACGGTTAATTGCGAGTTTTGATTGTTTTCCATTTGTACTGCTGTAGTAAGCATAAAGATCTGTTGGCGAATGTGGCGAACCATGCTCGTTTTGTCACGTTAACATTTTGATTCAAAACATTGCTCATGTTTTTTGTGTATTTCATCTCTATATAATCATTACATATGAATGTATTACCACTATACGAGATGTAGTAAGCATGAAATAAGCACAATAAACATGTTGTACTCCCTAAAAAAAACTACTTCGCCACAACAGCCACTTTCTTCTTTCCCCACGGTGGCCATTGTGGAGAGGTTCGACTGTATAAACAAATTTTTTCATGAACATCAGCAACGAAACAAAGAAACAAATTTAACAACTAAGGTTAAATTGAAGAGCATGCTGTAGACCCTAGCTTCTGTACATCAACACCGCGTTCTTTGGTGATTTTTACTTTATCGAAATAAGGAGCAATGTGACGTAAGCTTTCTATAATACAACCCGTGATTTAAAGACTATTGATAATAAAGAAACTTTTAAACAAAACAACAATAAATAAATCATTAACCAATAAATGAAGAATCTGAAGTGGTTGGCACTTTCCAAAGCTATACTGGTGGTGCGTAAACATTTCGCTTTCTTCTTTAAGTTAATCTAATAGCCAATACTAGTTGAGGGTTATACTAGCAAGAGCAATAAACATTTCTCGGGAAAAGTCAGAACGTGTTTACCCCCCAGCAGAAAACGAATGAAAATTCTCACCTTACTATTACAGATGCATTGAAACGAAAATCCCTACCTTGAAAAAACTCAGCTTGATGGGCCGTTTGATTCTCGTCCAAAATTTGTTTTCAAACTAAATCCAATAAAAGTGAGTTTCCAGAAAACACCTCACCTTGTTTAAATATCGTATATTTTACACTGGAGAGTCCAATCAAGCTTAATTGTTTTGAGGTCACGCCTAAAAGCCATTTGACGTCATTAGAAGAACCAAACTTCTTCCTGGGTGTTTTTTCATTGATTTAATTAAATAATGTTTGGCGAATTTTCTAGGTATTTCATATTGGATACAAGTATTGGACATCTAAGGATTTTGTGGAGCGCGATCAAGACTCCAACTGCTACACGGGTTATCATTAAAGAGTCGTTTTTCATATTTTGGGCGCAAAACCAACAGTCTTGTTCGGAAGTTTCGTCTTATTTAAATTCATTAAGACTTCTGCTGTTCTCTATCACTACGCACAATAACGTCATAGGCAAAAGTTTCGCAAAAAAAGAGACCGACTTCTGCAGGCAGACGTCATTTTCTATAAGAGAAATTAACGCATATAAAATGTTACTTACTTGTTTTGAACTATTAATGGACAAACGAAGAAAAAACAAGCTTTGTTCTCGGTATATTTTGAATAAGCGTACAGATTTTAAATCGGGATACGTCAGTTTTTCAAGGCTTAGCTTTGCAAAGCCACAAAGGCACGCATGAGAGAGGCCTTCCATCATCCTAGATCGAAGAATTTACCCCCTACAACTCTGTCTGGGAACGATAAGATTCATGAGTGCACACGATTATGCATGTCCATGGTTTAATTCAGCCCCTGAAATACATTCACTTAGAGGTAGATGTGTACTTTACCATGATATATTCATTGTCGTCGACGGTGCTTACGATTGGTTTCCATATTCACAAAGTGAAATATAACTTAATCAAGTTCACCAGACCCAGAAAACACACAAAAAGGTTACTTTAATTAATAAAGTTTACGTCTAAGTTGCATAATGCCTGTCATCTTAAATCAGTAATAGAAAACTCCGAGTACCAACAAATTATGCTCCAAATCAAGAATTTCAGCTTTAGTGATTCTACACGTTGGGGCTTCGCTCCTTTGTTAATCGTTTTGTTTTGTTTTCATAATACAAAAGGAATTACAAGCTTATGTTCCTGACTGACATAGCCGCCGTCGTAGCAATACATGCCGACTCGTAATTCTCATTGAGCAATATCAAGGACCGGAAATACGTGCTGGTTCATGAACTTTCCCGTCCAGAACAACAACAAATAACTCTGCAAAATACAGTGATGAACTCTCTCTGAGGCGGAGACCTTCGGGACCGGCACTATCCATGTGTCCGCGTCTTAGACAGATGTCGCTCTTATAGAAAGTCAACTAAACCGAGTAAAGAAAGGCAAGGACCAACTGTAGGAGGCCGTTTTGGCGAGGTGTCCGCTAAGGGAAGTTGACTGAAAATGAAAATTAAAAGTTTTCTCCATTGGCGGTTTTTTGACGCAGAGTTCACATTTTGTTCTAAATTATAACATTAAAGCAAGGTCTGAGCCAATATTCCTCTTAGGGACTATACTACATTCTGAACTATATCTGAAGATTTATCACAGACTGGCAAATCAAGCAACAACAGAAAAGAGTTAGCCCTAGCAGAGCCGATGCTCTTTATCATCGAATAACGGCTAGGGGACCATATGTATGGTATGCCGGACACAGAAACACACCAGCTACGCACAAGATACGTACAGGAAACTCACCAAAAACGGACAATACGTATCAAGTATAAACAAAAACCAATATTGAAGCTTTATTTACTACGAGGAAACTGGAAGGGCCAATATCTCTTATTTTAACAATGACTTAATAGAGTGAATGTAGGCGGGGGGTGGGGGACTGATCGAATATATTTCGTTAAACAGAAAGTACGGCCAGGGGTTAATTCAATATAACACTCATTTACTTTTTAGTAGAATCTGTCAGAAGTGAAGAGCTATAGCTATAGTTGGAAATTATGCCCGTCAAAGTTTTATCTAATTGACCCTGGCCAGCTTTAAAGTTCTATTAGATTTAATAATCCCCTTTCAGAACATAGACTATGATCACGAGTAACTGTTTTGTTTTTGCTTGAAATAGAGTGATTTTCGTATGACCTTGAAATGAAAATGCGCGAACAAAACAGAAGCAACAAACGAACGGAAATAGAGCGATTTGATTGGTTTATCGAACGGATACAAACGCGCGTGGCTTTTGGTTGGTTACACGAACGCACGAGAACTTACTAGAAATCAATCGATTCTTTGCTTTGACGTCATACAGCAACACGATTGGCCAATCGAACAATGCCATCTCCATATTTGGGTTTTCTTTGGCGGGAAAACGAAGAGCCTATCCAGTTTTGAACTTTTTATCCATTGGCTGATAAAACAAATGACGAACACTTACCGAAACCATTCTTCAAGGTCATACGAAAATCGCTGTATCAAAACGTCGTAAATGTTCATCAGTAGGATGCCTAAAACGTGTGCAATTCCACAATTGGTTTCTGCTCAATTAAATTCTATACTATTTGTAGAACATTTTAGGAGGAGCCATCCGACAAGGCCTAGGAGTAGGAAAACAGTCTAAAGAAAATGTAATGCGTTAAATGACGAAGTAAATACACACATCTTGTGGTAAGGTGAAAGAACAAACGGAAGTTAAGAAGACAAGTATATTCTTCAGAGGGGGATCGTTTTCAAGTGAACATTTTTATATCTCCCTAGAAGCATACAAAATGGTTGCAAAATCAGTATCAAGTTTACGGGCGCAGAGGCTGTTTCTCACATTCTTAGTTATTCTGTAAGCGCTTTGAAGACAGGAAATAAAAAACTGCTGAACTAATTCAACTCAATTTAACTATCGACTGTTCCTGGAAAGTACTTGAGGATTCATGTTTCTCACTAACTTACAAAGTACTATTATTATTTTGCTACATCATGTATTTGATTAAAAAAGTTTAAAGCCATACTTGCTCTAACGTTTCGATTTGGTATAAAAATGCTTGGATTGACATTCAAAGCCTTCGTGCTCTCCTTTAAAATGGCAACCAACATGTACAAGCTTAAGATTTTTCCGCGTAAATAGAAGATCAAAGAAGTACTTCCAGTTCAATTGCTTTCCTCTAGGACAATTTTCAGCAGCCTGAATCATCGTTGGGAAAATCTGTCGCGATTTCTCAATCCTGAAAAAGTTTACAAACGTTTAAAACCTTATTAATATTTAACCTTTGTATGCTCTACAAAATTGTGGAAGTTCAATGGCCGCGAATATGCATGATTGGTCATCCGTTATAACAGAAGTAACACTTCCTCCCACTTAAGTGAGCGTTTATAACTTTTGCTCGTAGTTTTATCGTCACACAGCTTGTTATATTCATTGGCATTTTCCTTTAGTTTTAAAGCATATTTCGATTTAATTACGTCTGCTCGGTATGTCAGATTCAATATGCTCTCGAGTTGTGGTAACGTTTTAACTGTTGATCTATTGGGAAAAAACAAAGAAGCAACTAAAAGTCTTTAATCCTTAATTAACGTTTCTTCAATGACAATAATGGTAAACATATACATGCTCAAAGTTTGTGAACCTTAAGGAAGGTAAGGGCCTGTTTACATGGAGGTGGGGGACCCTAGGTAAGTGAGGTAACCCCTTTAGGTGGGGTCATTTGATTTGATCACGTTTACACGATAGGTGGGGTGACCCCACACATGTCACCTCACCTATCTGAGGTCCCCCCAGCTCCATGTAAACAGGCCCTAAAATGATATACAAAGTATAATTTTATTTCAAAATGCACTTTTTCAATAGACGTGGAGCAGAGGTGGCACATTTTCAGAAACCATTTTGTTCAATGTTCATCTCTTTTTCTTGATCTGAAAACAAGTTTTATTTAACAAATATCCTGAATATTGTGGGAGAAAAAGCCCGGTCACAGTAGGGTTAACTATCTCTTTGTAAATTATGGGGTTGTGAGACGTGACAATGGAAGAAGCCATTTCGTGTTTAAAAGTAACTATAGAATTATCACGGCCTCAACCACTATGGATCATTATAAATACTCAGATTTGCTTAAATAGAGCTGTAGGCATACGCAACTTAACTAAACAAAATCTTAGCGGGCACTTTACTAAATAAAGTGTTTATGGAAAATAATAAAAACGAAAAGAAAACGAACAAAACGGGTTGTTTTTGTATGGTAGACTTGTACCATATTTAATGGAATAGGGGCTACAGAGCACATTCTCTACAGGTTCGACACCTCGACAAAACTCAATACAAGCTATAAATTATCCGAGAGATTAGTAGGTAAATGTTACAAGGTTTATTAACCTAGTTTTTCAGCCGTAAATTCTCTCTCTATATATTATTCTCTATAAATCACTGAACTTTATCCGTTTGCCGGACGTAGAACGTGCGCTGAATAAGCTGAAAAGTTAAGTTTCTAAAAACAGCACTCCATAAATTTCAAGAACTTTTTCCGGTGTAATGAGATCATTTCACTCTCCAAGGACAAGTGGCTCGAGAATGCAAGTCTCGTAAACATGATGTCATGTAATGGGACATAGCTTTGAGTGATCGGCTGAAACGTGTATCAGTACGCATTGACAAAAACTACGACTACTAAAAATCGCCTTTTAGACTTTGATAATCATGACTTGGACTGATTAATGGCCGCACTAGTTGATATCTAAATATTGGCATCAATTATTGACGAATAGGTTATGGTAATTGTTTCGGTGAGGTGGGTAACCTGTTACCATGGCAACCATAAAAAAGTATGCGGCTGCCAAAAAGAAAGAACGAATGGAGCCTCGTTCGTTTTGCCTTACGACTCATCAACTTGGCAAGAGTGGTCGTTTTGATCAATTAAAGTATTAGTGTGGAAATTATCATTCAGCTCTTTTGAGCCACTTAATGGCAAGTCTCACCGGTCTAAAAGCCACGAAAACAAGAAGCAAAATCTCAGTCTCGAGGAAAGACGCGTCTCGGATATCAAAGTGCAAGCGCTAAATGTAAATCAGTCGACGATACAAGATACCAGAGATTGGTTATCATACTCGGAGAAATGCAAGCTTGCTTTTCTATGCTTTTTAATGCGCGCCCATCACGGTAAAGAGTAACTGTTTTACTTCGTAATATCTTCTCCTTCATTTCACATCAAAAAATAATTGTTATTTAGGCATTCTTAGTCTACTGTTGGTAGTCACGACATTGAGCTTAGTTTACCTGACTTGTCAAGGCAATCACCAGTCTTGTTACAACTCGGCTTCATAGCAAATCCAGAAAAAGCGCTCATCGTAATTGCAATATTGAATAGATACGTTCAATCCCCCCTTTTCCGGATTTACGTGTAACAGCTGACACACTTGCAGCACGTGTCATGATACATGTAACATAAAAAGAAGAAAACGATCTGGTTGTGCACGCTGATATTCTCGGTACATAAAAATAAGCAAGTCATCGTTGTGAAAACGCGCGTGAAGGTTTCTTAATTGCTGACCTCCTAAGCGTTAAACGGAACAAGAAGAACTTTCTTCTCTCTTTTTTTTTTTTTTTTTTTCTCTGTTTTAGCAAAGCGACATAGCGTGACGATCTATTTCTGTTGATAGATGGATGCCAAACATTTATTCGAGTCAGTTAATGATTCAGTTTTCTTTCTGTCTTCTTTTATGACGAGGAAAAACATAGACAAAACACCGTTTCAGGTCAGTATTCCCCTCCCTTCGTAAAAAAAGCCGAAACTTTGGTTATCGTTATAGCTAGTACTAACCAAAGGTTAGGGAGCACGAGTGCGGGCGAGTTCGATCGAAGGTCAAACTGACGCTCTCGTTCCAACGCTGTGATTTGTGTAAGTTTTATTTCATGCGATAGCAGGTCATGACGCGGCGTTCAGATTACGAGTGATGGGGTGTTCAAACACGCGTGTTCACATTGCGTTCTATGCAATCCATTCGTTCGAGGACGAAATGGGACGACGGAACTTCAGCGATCGAGGACGAAGTCTCGCTAAAACTTAAGTATAAAATTGTGCTTTATGCGTGTAAATCATCCTTTTTTTCGAAGAATAGAAAAGAAATCTAAAATCATTTCTTAAAGAAAAACAAAAGTTCATCATCATCATCGATTAAACCATCGCCATGGCTTGTGAGAAGAAAATTACGGAGGTCTCTGAGTGCCATAATAAGACTAAAACAGACAAATACAAAAAGTCGTCGTCTGTCAGGGAAGCTGCACCGCTTAAACTTTGTTCTTCCCGCCGAAAACCAAACCCTTCCTCGGCTGCGAAGCGTCGTCGTCATCCGTTTCGTCGTCGATGCTTAAGGTCCCTATTCTCAGTGGAAGTCTGAACGAATATTGGCTTTATATGTGCTGCGGATGCGTAATAGCAATCTGGAGATTATGCTTGTGGCATCCGCAATTATTTTTTCCCCAGCGGCTGGGCGTCGATGTTGATCATCCCCCACCCTCTTGATTTAATACTCATGCCCAGGCTAGACTCGGTACATTTGAAACCAAAATGGCCGCCCGTAAAAATAGGGGACAGTGAGTGGTCTAGGGGCGATTACGAACAGAGTGTTATATGGGGGGTTCGAAAACTGTCAATAAAGCAACAAGGACTGATAAAAAAAGAATTAGACAGAAAACTTACACATGATCCAGATTCCAAGTGCTAAACAGGACCCTGCTTTCCTTGCTGCCATATGGATTGATTTTGTGTAACTTGAAGCAGTTTTCCTTATCATAAGGTCCCTCACAGCTAAACCATCCCTTGTCACAGCAGAGACGGAGTTTCTCACTGGCAGATCTAGCAAAGTAGTCTCCATAGTATTGTTGTCTCTTAAGCTCATCTTGAAATTGTTCCAGAGTATTTGAAAGATGTGACTGAGCTTTTCTACTTGCCTGAAAATATAATTCAACAGCATGCTATAAATAAGAATGGTGTCTTTGTTTGTTTGTTTGTTTGTTTTGCTTGTTTTTTTTTTCTCTCTCTCTTTCAATGAAATACCAAATTATACAATAACTGAAAGACAAAACAGAGCAACAACAAAAACAAACATCTTTTCACCACACTACTAGAGCTTACGTGTATTATTCCAGTAACTAGCCAGCTCTAGTTGCAGCATTATTGAACAAAACTCATTCAAGTGCCAGAAGGTAAATTATTATGATCGCTTTAACCGTGTGAAGAAAGAGTACATGTAATTACCATAGATACTCGTTTTGGCTAAAAATATTAATTAAGCACCTCCCTTCAAATTAGCTCCCCTCCAACATGTCACCTACCTTCATCCTCCTTAAATCAGGATTCATATAAAACATTACAACCATTTTTAAGGACTTTTCAAGGACCACATTTGATTTTCAGGAATGTAATTTCACAGTTTGTACAAAAATGCACATTCCCAGTCCACTCTAACAGGACTTTAAGGCTTGAACTGTTTGCTCCACCAACCTCTACATTTTTCAGTTCACTTGTCTTAAATTGACAGTGACTTCCGGGACAAAACAAAAAAACGCTTTATGCAAATCACCTTTAACTTCTCTGAGCTAAGATTTATACCTGCCGCAGACAACCAAAAAGCATTTTCCAGGCCACTAGACACAGAAGAAAGTTTAAGGACACTTCAAGGACTTGCACACAAATTTAAGGACCTTCCAAGGACTCCCCCTAAAATTCAAGGACTTCTCAAGACTGTGCGAGCCCTGTTACTGGAGGGCGGATATGCCATATAAAATAAAGTGCAACATTTACAATAATTTTACAGTGACATATTTGACAACATCGCACAGTTGCAGGGCTCGAAAAAATCTTAAATTCTAGCTTGTCCTTTGGGCAAGCAGCTCTCACATTTTGCTTGCTTGTGGCCCCCTTTTGCTCGTCTTAGTTAATGATTTTGTCAGAGGATGATATGCCTGGACTCTTGCCCAGTGTTCTCCTTATCAGGTAGTCACTGGTAAAATTTCCCACCTGAAGCAACAATATTCTTACCGCCTACAACTGCTAAAAGGTTTACTAAAATTGAATACTGTCTTTTAAAAAAATTCACAAGTTGTGATCTGATCCAATCAAGGAAAAGAGCGAATATGTGCAAAAGTACTAAACTATGATGTATACACAGCTTTCTTTTATGGGCCGCGCATTTTGGAACGAGAACAATGAAGACAGAGTAAAATTATTGGAATCCAACCTTTTAAATTGTTGTATAGAGATGACAAAGGCTGATTTGCATAAAATAGGTCTTGAAATGAGGGAATGACGTTTTAGAGAACTTAGGTCCTAAATTTCCCAGCGAGAGCAGGGCTACACCTGTATGTCCCTCACTCCACTACCCCCTATCACCCCTCCCCCTCCCCAGGAAGGTGTGCCTCTGGAGCATTTTTGGCCTCACTGGCCATGAACGGTCCCATACAGGCACATGTACATGTACCTGCTGAGCTAAAATCAAGGAGAACACTGTTGTCCATTGGGTAAGTAAAACTTAAAAGTTACTAGCCCAGCAAGAAAATCTAACTAGTTGTCCCAAACTACTGGTTAGGACTTGATTTTTTTGAGCCCTGAGTTGGATATTAATGACACTACATGTACTTCTCTGATGATAGCGCCCTAGGAAAGCAAGTGAATTTAATTACAACAAAATATTGAAGCCAAGAATCAATATAAACCTCACACACAAATATTTTAGTATAATTATTGCCAAAGGATATGTTCTAGTTTAACTCAATGTTGTAGAATTTTTCATTAATTTAAAACAAAGACAAGTGTCATCTTGAAGTCAAAATCATAATGAATGACAAAAGAACTCCCATCCCCTTCAAATAAGTGACCTACTTCAAAATGCAATCCCCGTCTCAAATCAAAAAAATTAAATACACATCATGGGCACTTAGTCTAGCATTTAAAGTAAACTCACATAGCTGAATTCTGATAAATACAGACAGTTGCACAAAATACCTTCTCAAAAGATTCCTTTGCATTAGAAAAATACTTTCTGATTCTGGATTTTGCAGCATCTCGCATTGCATCTTCCTTAGTGTTAAATGACTGCCTTAGCCCATCAAACCAGGTCACATCTTCGCTGCGCTCCTCAGCATCAATGTTATCATCAAGACGGTTCACCAGTTCAACCATAACACAGTACATTTCATCAGATTCTGAACCATGAATGAAATCATAAATCTGCTCAATCATTCTGTCACGCTGAGACATGGCCTTGAATATCTTCTCTGTTGCTTGTTTAAGCACCGTCACATCTAATAATGAAGCAAAGATACATCAATTTCATCTTCTTTCAATTTCTTTTTTAATGTTTAAAGTTTCTTTCACAAACTACTGGTAGCTGCAGAGTTGTTACAGTCGATAAAATGAACTTCTTAATGAACTTCCTACTGTACATAAGTTTGGTGTAAACATTTCAAAAATGAAATTATTTTAACCAGTTGGTAGGAGCAACTATTGCTCTTAAAAACATGTGAGAAGTAAAAAGTCTGCTTTATGCCAAGATCACTTACTTTCAATGGGACAGAATGCAAAATCAGTTTTATTAATCAGGATGTAAAACTACAGGTGTATCTCTGACTGCATGTAAGAATACCAAAAATATAATGAATTTGCGGGACGCTTTTAAAATGGTACCTTTAGAAATCAGTTAATGGATCAATCAAAATTCAAATAGAGTAAGTAATAGTAAGGGAAAAAAGTTCTCTCTCCAAGTTCACACCCACCCTAACAGCCCCACAAACCCCCACTACAACAACAAAAATATCCAGGACATTTGGCACACCCATTTGCCCTGGAAAGGCACAAATTTCCCGACAGTGGTTGATACTGGGATGGTGAATCTAAAGTCATACGGGGAAAGGGAGGGGGGGTTCAAATATGTACCTCATTTTTAGATCATACACAGTAGATTGAGTTGTTACAAGACGTTAAGGAAATACAGTCATGTAGTGTGTTCTTTCGAAGAATTGTGGCTGGAAAAGGACAGCCGGCAGAACGTTTCAGCTACATTTAAATATTAATGTCCTGTTTTGCTTAGGAAAATAGATCGATTAACTTCGACACTTCATACACCTTCACTGGCATTGACCTCTTCAATTTTTTTACTTACATCCGTGCCATGTCTCATCTGATCGAACAAACACAAAGACAGTCTGCGCAGGAAGAGTTTTAAAATAGCTTTCATCATCAACTTCTGTTCCATCTTCGAGGCACACTCTGCAATCGCCGGGAACCGCCAACTTTGTTGAACCTTTATGCTTCAGATCGGTCAAGCTGTTCGCCACAATCCCAACACGCTTCTTCCTGTTTACGTCTTGAACTTTGTAAGCTTTTGCAGAAACCATTTTTCTTCTCTTTTTTCAAGATACAATGAACCAAACGCTCATCACTGCATCACATTCAGGAGGGACAACGGCCCGCCACCATTTTCCTTAAGAAACTGCTTATGCGTCATGTATGTTGTATGGAATGTCTCGCTGTGTTCCTGCAAGGCATACATGATGTACAAGATGACAGAGTCGCAATGTTCAGCGTGTAGGAGAAAGGCCGAAGTACTGTTGTGACTGTTTGTTTGTTCCCAACCGATGGTTGCTTCATAAAGGTAAGCATAACATACCAAAAAATGCTTGCCTCACTGAAAAGAAACTGTAGTGGTTCCGTTTATCAATGCCCTGTCGTAGAATATCGGCAACAAACCTTTGTCAGTTTGTTGCCAGCTCGGACTGTTCTGTTATTATCCTTCCAATGATGAAACATTTATATGATCGTGAATATGATGATTTAAAAAATGAGACAGTTTACCAGTGTCAGAACCTTTCTGAAGGAACTGTTTAGGCCAAAAAATTGCAATATCCGAGAAGAGAAACATTGGTCGCTTGTACCAGATTCTGATTTTGAATACCATGCATCTTTAATTTATCCATAACTTTTCACCCACCCTAAAGATGGTAAACAAACCAAACTACTATTGTCGATAACATTTGTGAATACCGTATCAAATCTGAAATGTCAGTGGTGAAGCCCTGTTAGAAATTTTATATTCCAACAAGCGACATATGATCGTTGTGTCGTTTCAGCTGAAAGGGCAGGTTTATACTGTCACAGCGCCGAATGCAACGGCAAATACAATGGTAAAATACCGACAGAGACATGGCTACCTTTCAGTAGATGAAAGAATGGGTTTTGAAATTCAGGCTGGTTACATATACGTAACCTCCCCCTCCCCCCCCCTCCCCTGTACAAGTGCTTTATTAAACCTTAGTGTATCCTGCTGGATTAATAACTGCCAAAATTGCTTTTAGTGAGTTTATTCATAGTTATTAAAGTGGAATGGTTATGAAGCTCGAAAGCTTTTTTAGACTTGAACTAGCACAACATAAATAGCATTCCTGTCATTTTAAACTTCCTAACCAATAGCATTAATTTATTCAGTCACAATTTGCGAACAAAAAACAAAGGATTTTGCACGGTCAAGGAGCTTCCACTGTAAACTACAGCCCCGTTGTTTTTATCTTTGATCATTGCCAGCTTTCATAACCAGTCTCCTCTATTAACTATGGTTTATTTGATTGAGCTTTGATTGGTGTTTCTATTTTTTCAGACAATGGCGTCTGAGGGACTGGAGTGTTCAATCTGCTGCGAACGTTTTGATGAGGAAAAACTCTGCCCGCGTTTACTGAGTTGCGGTCACAGCTTCTGCTCAAGCTGCTTGGAGAAGTTGTTCAAAGAGTATGCAATTAACTGTCCCACTTGCAGGAGTGTAGTGTCTGTGCCGGCTGGTGTCACAGGACTCCCAAAGAATTTTGCCCTACTAGACGTCTTACAAGCCACTCCGCAGACGCCAGCAGATGGCAATGGAGATTTGCGCCTTTGTGAAGTTTGTGATGATGAGAAGCATCCTGCGACATCCTGTTGTTTGGACTGCAAAGAGGATATGTGCAAGGATGCAGTTCGTTGGCATACGCGACAGAAGGCAACCCGCGATCACCGTGTTGTTTCCCTAGATGAACTAAAGGCAAACCCAAAGGTTACAGCGGTGTCAGTTTTCTGCCCAGAACATAATGAGCGATACCGCTTCTTTGATGACGAATGCAATCATGTGGTGTGTAGGGACTGCGTTACTCTCAAGCATAATGGTCACAAGTGTTTATCATTAGCTGAAGCTGCTTCAAAATACCGGCAGGAAATGGAAGCAATTGTTACCAAAGCCAGTACCCATGCCAAGGAAATTAAAGCTGCAGAGACTCAAGTGGCAGGTGTAAGTCAGGACCTGAACAAGGCATACGAAGAACAGGCTGGTCAAATTAAAAGTGCCTTCAAAGAGGTAAGCGAACATTGGCCTTTCTGATTTATTCAATTATTTAATTAATCCAGCTTTTGTAAGTTTCTTCAATAAACGGAGCAAGCAAAAACTGAGTACTTTAAACAATCGGTCATATCCAGAACGTATTCACACTAGTGGTCTGTATAGGAAAATCAAAATATACAGGGTTTACTTGTGCGAGGTGACCTTTCATATTATGACTAATTGAATACTGGGTAAGCATTGGATATATCTCCAAACCCAATTCAAGTGTAACAAAGCCTCCACTTATTTGGATTCCACAGACTCATAACCTAAGCAGCCGTGAAATGTTCTTGTTTTGCAGCTTTATGCTGCCCTTTCTGCCAGAGAACAAGCTCTGTTGAATGAACTGGGTCAGTTACACAAGACCAAAGCATTCACACTAACGGAACAGCGAGACCGTCTGCGTATTTTTCAAGCCTGCCTAGAGAGTTCCGTCCAGCGTGCTATGTCCACAGTCCAATCAGGCAACACTGAGCTCCTAGTCGCACGGACTGATATAAAAGCAACGTTTGAGGCGTTAGAGAAACAACCTCTCCTGCTCAAACCACAAATGGATTGTGTATTAGATTTCCACATTAACCTTGAGCAAGTGCTGGACTTGCTTAGTAAAGCAGGTATGGTCAGTGATAAGTCTACCTGCGCGGCCAACACCACCGCAGAGGGAGCAGGTTTGAAGGTGGCAATGCCCGGGAGAGAGGTTTCATTTACTATCACTGCACGCGACGCCCAAGGACGTCTCCGAGATCGTGGAGGTGACTTCTTCACGGTTGAACCTACAGAAAGTGATGGAAAAAAGGTCAAGTGGAATGTGAAGGACAAAGACGACGGTACTTACATGGCAACCTACACCTGCCCAGCTGATTCAAAGGGTGCAAATCTAAGGCTTTCGGTGCTTTTATGTGATACCCACATTAAAGGCAGTCCTTTTGTTGTCCATGTTATTGACGTTCCAGTGGGTGAAGTAATCTGTTACTGCTGTAGTAAACGAACACACACCATGATTTACTACAAAAACAACAGCGAGCCTTCACGGAATGATGCATATCGCGTGAACGGATGTAGTGCTTTTTGTTTTCCCCATTGCGAGAGTTACTTTCAAAATATCGGACAAATGTCCAGTTTGTGGATTAAATGTCATGGCCCTTGTTAAGTAAATTGTAATACGAAGTCGTGCGCCCTGGAAGAGAGCTCGCATGCAACTAAACTTGACAAACGACGACAATGCTCTTCAAGTCGAATTAAATACTCATTTTTTAAAACTACCCGATGATCCCAAATACAGCTATTTTAGACATCGTCCTTTTGGTGATGAGTATTGAAATCAATAATAGCAATGAAGTTTAACAGCTCAGATAAAGACAGACAAGAGACAAAGCCACTTATTTCTATTTTATATTTCACTTTAAAAGGGTGTATGGATGAAGAAATTTGCCATATTACCAAAGCCTGCGAGGCAGGCACAAAAAGGGGATGAGGAGAATTAAGGGGGAAAAATGCAAAACCCTTTCGATACCTACGTACGACGTATATCATCACAACGTTTCGTATGTTGACTCCTCCACAGGCTTTTCCAAGGCTCAGTAGGGAGCACGGACTTTTAAAGCGGGGTGTTGGAGACGGAGACTAGCGCGAGTGGGGGATTATAGGCACGAGCGTAGAGCTTGATTCACCATTTTCACATTGCCCATAATGCACCTTGTTTAACCCCCCAAAATTTTGCATAACCATTGTTTCCAATTCCTCCGGGGCATGCTGGTATTACAGTTGTCCAAAGAGGCAGCAGAGAGTGTTGGATTTGAGGACGAGGACGACTGCGAGTACGAGATTTAATTTAAAGTTTTTTCGCGTTTTTTCGCGTATTCTAGAAAAATATTCAACCCGGAAAGCTTCATTGTACTATTTTTCACTGTTACGAAAAATTGTATTGCGTGACTAGCGTGACTTTCTAGAAGGTTCGCGAGAGTTCGTAGTTTGTTTATTTTAGGATCTTGCGTAAGCGTTTCTAAAGCGGTACATTTTGTAATCTTTCTATAATTAGTCTATTTAGAGTGTTCTACAACTTTATCGTAAAAGTATATAAGTAGGCCAGTTCGAGTTAAGTTTTAACTAGTTTTCACAAGCGAGGAGAGTTCGACGTTAGTCGTGTTTAGTCAAGTGTGACGAAAGCAGTGTTTATTCAAGTTGGCGGAGGCCGCGTGAGTTTATCAAGTTAATTGAAGTTGGCGGAGACCGTGTAAGTTTAACGAGTTAAGTGCTGTTGTGGAGTTTTACTCAGTGGAAACTACGTTCATTTTGGAATAAATCTTCTTGTTCCTGTTCCGACAACCCTGCGTTCAGTTTGGTTTGCAAGCTACCCGTCCTCTAAAAGATTACCCGCGTAACATTCAACTGAAAAATTAGTGTGGTTATTGTAACTTTTGTAACTTTATTTGATTTACCACAAAATACAAATAACGATAAAACAAGACAGTTACACAAAAGCAAATGAAAGTGGTGAGGAAGCCCAAAAAGAAACCATGAGGCTTATAGACATTGCGCTCCCTCAGAGTAAAAATAAAGTTAACAGTAACAGTAAGGCCAGGATCGAAAGTAAAATACAGTGAAGGTAAGTATAAATTAACTAATTACATAGACTGAGTTGACAAAATATAAAGTAAGGCACATGTAACAATAAGTATAAAAATAATATCAGACATGTGAAGAAAGATAACTATTTACTATAAGATTTATAACTAATAATTCATATATAGTTTTTTCTTCAATTTCGTTTTGAATAAGTGGAGAGAATTAGATTCTTTAATATCATTTTCTATAGAATTATAATAAGTAGGTCCTTGGAAACTGACAGAAAATTTACGAAGGTTTGTTCTACAAAAAGGAAGGTGAAAATCGTTCGCGTATCTAGTGGCATAGCTACGGACTTGTTTGTTTAAAGAAAAATAATTGTTGAACTTTGAAGGCAAAAGAGGATGGTTAAGAGAAAAACTAAGTTTACCCAATTCTAATTGTCTAATATCGGAAAGTTTTAGTAGCTCTAATTCTTTGAAAATAGGGTCTGAATGAGAATCGAAAGTTGATTTAGAAATAATTCTGATAACTCGCTTTTGCAAAGAGACAAGACGGCGAAGATAAGTTTTGTACGTAAATCCCCAGACAATAATACAATAATGAAGATAAGGATAAACTAAACAATAATAAAGAGTTTTTAGACACGGTTTAGGTAGAAAAAATCTTGCTCTATTAACGACTCCTATTGATTTCGAGATTTTACGAGCTACTTGAGAAATGTGCGGTTTCCAAGACAGATGTTCATCAACGACTACACCGAGGAAGACCGTTTCCTTAACCTGTTCGATTCTCTGTTCATTTATGCATATTTGCATTGGAAAATGATACCTTTTCTGTCTAGGCTTAAATAACATAAAGTTTGTTTTCTTCAGGTTTAAGGAGAGTTTGTTTGCCTTAAACCAAGTGGATAATTTATTAAGTTCGGAATTGAGTGAGGCTGCCAGGTAGACAGGATCTTTATGGGACATAAATAAATAAGTATATTCAGCGAATAAAATCAGCTCGACGAGCGTCGATACGTTATTTAAATCATTAATATAGAGCAAGAAAAACAAGGGGCCCAAAATGGATCCCTGGGGGACACCACAGCAGAAAGTTTGTGGAGAGGAGCATTGACCGTTAAATTAAACGAATTTCAACCTGTTGGAGAGGTAGCTTCTAACCCAGTCCAGAGCCGCGCCACGTATACCATAGTGTTCGAGTTTGTCAAGCAGAATATTATGATCGACGGTATCAAAGGCCTTAGAAAGACCTACGAAAACGCCAACGGCATGTTCATTGCGATCAAGAGCAAGGGAGATTTTTTCATATAGGTCAATCAATGCTAACGAAGTTGAATGATTTTTCCTGAAGCCAAATTGATTATCACATAGAATTTCTAGTTTACTTAAATAATTATAAAGACGGTTATAAACAACCTTTTCAAGAAACTTAGAAAAGCCAGGGAGAATCGAGATCGGTCTAAAGTTCGTAAAGAGTGATCGATCACCGTCTTTAAAGAGTGATATCACGCGAGCAATTTTCATTTGGTCGGGAACAATGCCATGAGTGATAGATAAATTGATTATATGAGCTAAAGGATCGGCTATAATTTGAATTGACTGTTTTATGATGGAAATGGGAATTCTATCATGGCCAGCTGCCTTACCTGGTCGAAAAGCATTGGAAATTTCCGATAGCTCATTTGGAGTCACTGGATCAAAAAACACCGATTGAAAAAAGTGACCAGAGAGAAAACTGCGGTGAGAGACAGACGAGTGAATTTCTTTGGCTAGATTAGGCCCGATACTAGAAAAATAACAACAGAATCTATTAGCGATGTCTACTGGATCCGTAATTTCTTGGTTGTCAACTTTAAAGATGGAATTGATTTTAAACTCTTTCTTTTTTGTCTTAATAATTTCGTTTAGAACTCTCCATGTACAGCTTTGGCATTTGATTTAGAAGCATCAATTTTTTTCGTAATATATACGTTTAGCAATTCTTAATGAGTGATTCAATTTGTTTTTGTAAGTTTACAACGAATTTCATAATGCGAAGACTGATTAGTGAGATACTGACTATATAACTTATTTTTCGTTCTTATCGACTTCAGAAGTCGTTTCGATAACCAAGGCTTACTCAAACGGTAATTGCTCACCTTAGTTTTTTTTAAAGGAAAACATGAGTCATATGCCGTAGAGTATTGTTTGAGAAAGCTGTTATAGGCGTTATTTGGATCATCAAGAGTGGCATACTGAGACCAGTCAATTCTCTCCAAATGCGATAGAAACTTAGTTGTGTTGACTTGATCTTACATCTCGAACAAAAACAGTTTCATTAGATGCTGAGATTGAGGTGCCGAAATGAATAGAAAATATAGGCAGATGGTCAGAAATGTCAGTGAAAACCAGTCCACTCCTAGATCTATCAAAAAATTGGTTGACGAAAATGTTGTCAATTAAAGTTGCCGAGTGACAAGTTATTCTTGTAGGGCGCATAACCAATGGAAAGAACATATTTGAATATAGCGCATCTAAAAATTCACCAGTAACGGAATGACTTTGGTGGTTAATTAGATTTAAGTTAAAGTCACCCATTAAATAACATACCTTATTTTCTTTTGTTATTGTAGAAGGTTTAGCCCTTTCCCGGTCGCAAAACGATTAAACTTGAAAAATTTGATAACTTGTTTCCTCGCACCACAAAAAAACACCCATGCATGGGGTTAAGAAAAGTTTCCTACAAAAGACATCATGTAAATCAATCTTAACACTAGCGAACATACTTGGAAACAAACAGATGAAAAATAACATTAGCTTGAGTTAATGAATAAAGAAAAAAGAAGAAAATGGAAAAAAAAAGAGGAAAAAAGATATAATAAAGATCATTATCAAGTCGACCGTGAATCAGACTTGTCTTGTTTCTCGACGTACTTTCAATAAAAGAATAAATACTCAGCTGAATACTGGTATCAGCGCGAACTTACTTGGTGGCCCACTGTCATGTGGAAGATGGGTGTGGCCGTTTGCGGCACGCTTAGCTTGTTGATGGCCTTTGTTTATTTCAGACCAAGGCCTACAAGTATGTGGTTTTTCCTACACTATTTTTTATTAGACCTCCCGTCTAAATACATGCTCCAACCCTAAAGCGGAGCCTATGCTGCTTCGGTTTGCCGTGACATTTACAGCTACTTGAGTCTGACCACGGGTCTTACTAACCCGTACATGTGCTCTGTAATAGACGCAGGCGTCGTTATTGGCAACCACACCGCCTTTGAAGCTTTGGAGCCTGGGAACAACATTGGCGTAAATGACGTACTGAGACGACCGACTGTTTCTTACTGCTTCAAAGTAAAACCTGAAAACGGAAGTACGGTTGTGATTGTTTGTTTATTCCCAGTGTGATCATTGCTCCATAAAGGTAAGTAATAATTTGCCAAAAGAAACCTACGTTGCTAAAAATAAACTATATCGCTTGAATTTATCAATTCCCTGTCACTGAGTATTGACTATTAGTTTGGCGTGTGTGCCATCATGCACACATCTCGTCCTGCAGAGACATGTTTCACCTTTCTAAAGATGAAACATTCAAGTATGTATTCGTGACTGTGATGACAACTTTTAAAGAAACAATTGAATACATAGATTTAACCAGGGCTAAAAGCGAAGCTTCCGTTTATTTACTTCTAATAATAAAAGCAAAAATTATTTTAAACTTATTAACTTAAAGCCATAACAAAGAAGTCAAAGAAATACAGTCAGAAATACGGACACCAAAGGGACAGAACCAAGTGTCCGCTTTACAGAGGTGTCCGTATTATAGATGTAGGGAATGTATGATTTTTGGTATTTGTGGGACCAAACAAACTGTCCGTAATAGAGAGGTGTCCGTAAGGAGAGGTTAGACTGTATTCAAATCTCTACTTGGTATTGTGGCTGCATAATCCGTTTGAGAGGGGAAATTTATGGCGTCCGAGAAGAGCAAGAATGCTTTGACCCTATTCAATAACAATCTTGCTTCCCATTCTTCATTCTCTCAAGGCTAAACTAATATTGCCTGTAACACCAAGTTTCCTTGTTTAGTTCGACAATTAACAACATTTTGCAGTGATGAGAAATAAAAAAGCAAATAAACTAGAATCTTTTATTTGTCTGGATCATTTTATGTCACAACAAGTGCTGGAGCCTACTCGCGGAAAAAAAACATCTTAGATCTCGTGATAACAACGAACGAGGGGTTGATAAGGAATCTACAAGTTGGTGGACCATTCTCCTATCACACTAACTCCATTGCTTTTGAAGTTACGTCGTCATCTTCTAAAAATCCGTCGCATAAGAAGGTTTACAAATTTATGAAGGCGAATTTGGATAGGCTAAATGAACTGTTTAATTTTGTACCGTGGACCTGTGCTTTCCTGACTGATGATGTCTAGGAAAACTGGCTAATGCTTAAAGATTTACTCTTCACAGCAGTTGAGACCTGTATACTAACCAAATCGCCAAGGAAAATGAAAAACGCACCGTGGCTGACCCCGAATGTATTAAAGTTGATAGGCAGAAAAGAATTGTTTACAAGAGAGCCAAGGTATCAAATTCTGACAATCTTTGGACGCGTTACCGAAATTTGAATAACAGAACAAAGAGGGCTTGCAATCAAGCGCGCTGGAAATATCTTGAACAATTAAGTGTCAAAACTGCTAACGAAGGCGATAGCAAATTGTTTTGGAACTATGTTCGCTCGCGTCGGAATGGAACAAACAACCTTGTGATCACTTAAAGTAGATACAGATACTCTGATCGATCACAAAGACATTGTGGACAGTTTCAATCACTATTTCGCCTCTGTTTTTACATCAGAAAACTTGACTCATATTCCAAACTTCCCGCAAGTTGTCAGAACTGAAAATCTCACATAGGCATCAACTACTCTCAGTGTTGTTGGAAAGCTATTGCGGGAATTAAATGCCAATAAAAATTGCGGCCCCGATGACCATTATCCAAGGATTTTGAAACATTGTAGGAATTCACTAGCATCGCCCTTGTGCACCCTGTTTAATACTTCATTTAAATGCGATGAAATTCCCGATGATTGCAAAATAGCAAATGTTATTCCGCTATACAAGAAAGGAGCCAAAGACAAAGTAGAAAACTACAGACCTCTTTCTCTAACCTCAATTGAAAGTAAAATCTGCGAGAAGATTGTCAGGAAGTCGATTGTAAACTTCTGGACGGATCATCAAGTCTTCATAGGCGAGCAATTTGGTTTCATGAAAAAAAGTTGTTGTCCATCGCAATTGCTCGATACTTTTCATTCATGGGCCAAAGCAAGAAATGACTCGCATAAAGTAGATGTAATCTTACTAGATTTTACAAAAGCATTTGACTCTCTTCCTCATCAGCGTCTCCTGGCGAACTTGAAGGGATATGGAATTGGTGGAAATCTCCTTAATTGGCTAACCTACTTTATCGTTGGTAGAAAACAAAGAGTGTCATTCAGTGGGCACTTTTCTCCTTGGACGATGGTCACCTCTAGTGTTCCCCAAGGTAGTGTACTCGGGCCATTCCTGTTCCTTGCCTATATTAACGATATTACAGCTGGCGTAAGGTCGAGCATGCGCCTGTTTGCAGATGACAGCAAGGTTTACAGGATTGTTTACGATGAAAACGACGAGAAACAACTTCAATGTGACCTCAACACGCTACAGAAATGGAGTGAAAATTGGCAACTTCGTTTTCACCCTGACAAATGTGAGGTTCTACGTGTTACCCATACGAGAGATCATGTTAGCTATCCTTACAAGCTCTCTGGTTGTACTCTTCAGTGTGTCACCGAAACGGTTGATTTGGGGGGTCTCATTGACTTCTAATCTATCCTGGAACCGACCCAAAGAAAGTTGTAAATCAAGCCAACAAGATTGTGGGTTTCCTTAAAAGGAATGTTGGTCCAGGTAACAGGAAGTCTTTTCTCGTCTGTACAAGGCCTTAGTTATACCCATTCTGGAATATGCTGTCCCTCTCTGGTCACCCTATTTACAGAAGAACATTGACGCTCTTGAACGAGTCCAACGTAGGGCCTCGAAATACGCTCTCCCGATATCATCTAGGGACCCTCCGAACGACGAAAGACTAGCAATGCTTGGGTGGTCCAGTCTTCAATCAAGGAGGTCTTATCTATCTTTGCTAGAGTGCTACAAGACTATTCATGGTCTTAATGGCCTTACCTGCAATGATTATTTTGAATTTAATTGTTATGGTAAAACAAGGTCAAACCATTCATTTAAATTAAGACAGCTATTAGCTAGAGTAAATTGTTTTCTGCACTCATTCTTTGTTAGAATTATCAAACGCTCTTCCTAAAGAGATAGTGCAGGAACAGGATTTCAGCATTTTTCGAAGTAAACTTAGAAAGTATTGTGAAATTTTGTAATTTTATTTTAGCCATTTCTTAATTGTTCTTAAATTTTACATTGTTGTATGTTTATTTTATACTTTATGTAGGGAGCGTCCTCGATAGGGATAACCTGTGGCGTTTCCTTTTATGTATTCTTACATAATAAATACTTCATTTGATCTATTTTATGTATTAATAACTCTGTCAGGATTCACGAACCACAGTTCTACCCTTTTAGTGTAGCATTGGAGGCAATGAAAAGGAGTCTTGGCAAACATAACTAATTTAATACACCTTTAAAATGGCGCCTTTCACCAAATGGGAAACCTCAAGTCGCTTTGTCGTCATGCTTAATCAGTTTTCCTTTACCAATTGCTGCACTGAGCACACGTTCGGGCCCAAATAAGGATATACCATATGTGGGCATACACCCCATTCCACACTAATTAAGGAAATCTACACAGATTATAGTTTAAAGAAAATAAGATATAAAAAAGGCTTCGTAATGTTCTCCACCAAGAATCAAAATTCAGAGTATAGAAACTTGAAAAAATAAACAGGTATCTAAAAAGTCAAAGGCTAAACATCAATTATACTCCTTTATGCATTTGGGAGCTTGTCTTTTTTCATAATGAACATGATGCCCACGTATCGATGTTACTAAAATTTGGAACGGGGATCGGAGAACGGGCACGGAGAACGGGAAAGAAAAATGAGAACAAAACCGAACTTGAACCCTAGCCCTATTTATTATTAACCTTATTCCCAGTTCTCTCATTTGTTCCCATTTTTTAATTTCCCGTTCTCTGTGCTCGTTCCCCGCTCCCCGCTACATGTTTTAGTATCATTCGGTGTCTTTGCAGGTGGTACCGTACACCTTGCTTGCGTATTCTCTTTGGCACTTTGACTGGTAACTGACGGGAGTAGGGTCTCTGTTTGATGCTTGACCAATGTTCCTCATTTTGCTTTGGCGCCTTTGAAATTTCAAAAACACTTCACTATCATTCTTTTCTAACACTCCCTGTGGCACGCACTATTTTTCTTTAGTTTTGTCGTAACGGGACAGTGTCTTCCTATCCTATACTCGTACATGCATGCCTCCTTGAATCTTCATATTCTTTGTCTCTTAGCTTTGCTCGTGTGTATATTTCCCGCAGGTGTCTGTGCTCACCTTTAAGCTGAGCGTCTTCCTCATTCATCCCTATTTTTTTTTTAAGGTAACTTGCCGAGGTGTGATGGCGTCTGAGGGACTGGACTGTCCTATCTGCTGCGAACGTTTTGATGAGGAAAAACTCTGCCCTCGTTTGCTAAGTTGTGGTCACAGCTTCTGCTCAAATTGCTTGGAGAAGCTGTTCAAGGAGTACGCAATTAGCTGCCCAACTTGCAGGTGTGTAGCTTCTGTGCAAGCCGGTGTTACTGGGCTTCCAAAGAATTTTGCCCTACTAGATGTCTTACAAGCCATCCCGCTGACAACAGCAGATGGAAATGCAGATTTGCGCCTTTGTGAAGTTTGTGATGATGAGAAGCATCGTGCGACATCCTGTTGCTTGGATTGCAAAGAAGATATGTGCAAGGATGTAGCTCGATGGCATACTCGACAGAAGGCAACCCGCGATCACCGTGTTGTATCCCTAGAGAAACTAAAGGCAAACCCAAAGCTTGCAGCTGTGCCGATTTTCTGCCCAGAGCACAATGAGCAATACCACTTCTTTGATGAAGAATGCAATCATGTCGTTTGTAGGGACTGCGTTACTCTCAACCATAATGGTCACAAGCTTTTATCACTAGCTGATGCTGCTTCAAATTGCCGACAGCAAATGGAAGCAATTGCTACCAAAGCCAGCAACCATGCAGAGGTAATTAAAGCTGCAGAGGCTCGAGTGGCGGCTGTAAGTCGGGACCTGAATAAGGCATACGAGGAGCAAATGGTTCAAATTAAAGGCAGCTTCAAAAAGGTGAGTTAATATTCGTATTTGATTACTATTTTTTATTTGACACAAATAGGCCACGAATTCCCTACCTTTTTCAAACTGGGCCCCTAAGAAGTTCTCTAAAGGCGCTCAAAATTCACTTTGTGATAGCACACACCCGCGTAGCTTATATACGGTAATACGCGGTAGTACTGCTGTCAGTGCAAGAGATGCTTTTAATTCTAACGACGTGCAGAAGTTGATTCCTCTGATTACTGTTGAAACGACTCGGCGTCCACTGTTTTAGACTATACTTGTGTTTAATGCAAGTGGCTTTTTCTTATTTTGCAGCTACATGCTGCACTAAATGACAGAGAAAGCGTTTTGTTGAGAGAATTGGAGCAGCTGTACAAGACCAAAGCATTCGCTCTCACAGATCAACGAGACCGTCTGCACATATTTCAAGCCTGCCTAGAGAGTGCCGCCCATCGTACCATGTGCACAGTGCAATTAGGCAACGTTCACGTGCTTGTGGCCAGAAATGATATAGTACCAACGCTAAAAGAAATAGAGAACCAGCCCCTCGTGTTTGAGCCACAAGCAGACTGCGTTTTAGAGTTCAACGTCAACCTTGAGCAGCTGCTGGAATTGCTCAATGACACGGGTATGGTCAGTGATAAAACTACCAGTTCAGTCACCACCACTGCTGAAGGCTCAGGCTTGAATCTAGCAATACCCGAGAGAAAGACTTCATTCACTATTACTGCACGTGACGCGCAAGGACGTCTCCGTGGCGAGGGAGGTGACATGTTCATGGTGGAACTTACAGAAAATGAGGGGGAAAAGGTTGAGTGTAATGTGGAGGACAAAGGCGACGGTATCTACATTGCAACATACACCTGCCCTGCTAATTCTAAGGGTAATCACGAGGTTTCAGTGCTTTTACGTGGAATCCACATTAATGGCAGTCCTTTTTCTGTCAATGTTACTGATGCTCCAGTGGGTAAAGTGAGCTGTTACGGCTGCAAGACGCGAACAAAGTCCATGATTTACTACAAAAATAACATTGAGCCGTTTCGGAATGATGACTACCGCGTTAATGGATATAGTGCCGTTTGTACCCGCTGCATTTACCGTGCGTCTCCTTACTGGATCAAATGTTGTGGTCCATGTTAAATAAAACTCAACACATAGACGTCCGTTCTGAGAGGAAGCTGTGGCCACATCTTCAAACGTTCTTATTCAGGAATGATTCATGTCACGTACGTTTATTTGATTGAGCCCATGATCTCGAGTATTGAAAGTCCTGTTATATCGAGTCATTTTAATAGACGTAGTCTATAATCAGGGGCACCCAACGGCAATTTTCGGGAAAATATCTGTTCGGAAGACGATTTGAGAACTAGAATTTTCGGAACATTTGTTGTAAAATTTCTTGCTTGCCTGTCTCTCCTAGGATTTTCGAACATCTACAAAATGGTATAATTACCCATTTTAAATGGATATTTACCCTAAAAAAGGCCACGTAGAACTTTCGGGAGCCTTTTCCTGGCTGAGATTTTCGCAAAGGTAAGTTTTGATCCCTATAATTTTCGGATCACTAGACTTTCAGCTAGGAAATCCGAACAGATGAAAAGTTTTTAGGGGATAAAAATATGCCTATATCTACCGTTTAAATACTAAAATACGTTCAACAATGCTATGTTAAGTGGTTTTGGACTACATCCTCGTTGGGTGCCCCATATAATTAGAAAAAAATAGCATTCATTCGCGAAGTTGTCTATAGTTAAGTTATCCGTATGTATCGGTGTGAAGAGAAGACGAAACAGTCTTTGATTTCTGGTTTGGTCCCTGAAGTTTTAAACAATCCAGTATTTTCTGATTTCTCTTGCTATTAGGAATGAATAATTATTGAATCATACGTTGGAAATATAATGACTACTGTATTTTTTACAGACTTATCGTACAATTTGTCAGCAATTTTCTGACACCTATTTTAAACACGTTTTGAAGTTTTAGTATATTGTAAAAGAGGGAAACTAGGCCTTGTAAATGACCACAATGGATTCGACAAGTTTTTTTCCTGGTTATCTTATTTTTTTACAATTTGTATTACAATTGCTTTTAATTGGGATAAACACACAATCAATTAATCAATGACTAGAAATACGTATCTCGCAATAACCCTCACGTAAGAAGTTTTTTTAGTAACGCCACTAAATTTAATCCTCGTCGGGAACAGCTTGTTTTATTATTTGTGAATTTTGTTCGTTTGTTTACGGCAGTAAACCGTGAAGCCATTTTGCTCGTAACTCACGCGAGTTTGGCGCCGCTCGCTCGGAGGAACTGGAGGTGTAACAGTGAATAGCACTGGATATCCGGAGTTTGAGTAGCCAATTAGAGCGCTCGAAAACATTATCCACTATTTTAGTGTATACTAAATAAACTAAATAAATGTATATAAAGCCGACTCGTTTTTCTGCCTCGCTGTGCGATCCACGCAAGTTCCACGCGGAATGTGAATTTCGACAAAATTATTAACTCGCTTCGCGAGGAACAAAAAAATATTTTTAAGTGGCAACTATTTGGTCGATCTGTCGTTCCTGCAGATTTCCCGCTTCAGCTTGCAGTTTAATTAGTTCTATCTTGCAACCCAGTAGCAATCAAAGATGAGTTTGGGTTCGATGCTTTTCGCGGCATTCCGAAGTACATAGTGGCAGCTGTTGGCTGGGAACCGCCAAACAGTTATCAACAAGCCTATGGAGTCGGAGATCAGTTAAATAGACCGCTGTGCCACAATATTTGTAAACAAAGGGGCCATGCGCTGGAAAAACCAAAAGGATCGCGGCCCTGGGAACAAGAGCACAAATTCATTCTCCCCCTACAGGGTCACGTGGTCTTGATGCAAATTAGTGGCTTTACGCATGCGTCATATCACCCAGTCGTACCACAATCCCGTTCCCAGAGTCCTCTTCACCCTTGTCCAGCTGACTCTGGGAATGAGATTAGTCATACTACAGAGTTGGCAGTATGTGCTTCCTTGTTAAATTTTGTCTTATTGGCTTTAGAATCCGGTCCATTATATTTATTTTTTGTCAGTTATTTCATTATCATTATTTATTTATTTATTTATTTATTGTGTATGTGCTCTGTGACGGAGAAACCTGGGAGGATTGGGACACTCTGGATTTCATGCAAGTGACGGGGATGATCGAATGGGGATAGAAATCAAAAACAAAAAACTCTCTAGGGCTTCCGAAAAAAACCCAAAAACTCCCTAGACCAGCCACAAAACAATTTTGGTTGCACTTCATTCGCAGAACTACTTGGCCGGGATACGCAGGCACTAGCACTACCACGAATCTTCACTTGTTTTGAATATCCCCAAAAATCTCTACTTTTTAAGTAGGGAATTTTTTTTCGGTGAGTATTTTTTTGGGTGGCATGGATTAAAATTCTTGCCAAATTTTCTTTCCCACCCCAAAAAATTCCGGAATCAAACCCCAAAAAATCGTTAATCCTTATATCATCCCCGTCAGTACCCCACCTACCCCCTCGGCGGAGAAAATGGAGCAACGGCAATGAGGTCACTTTGGCTTCATGTAAGCTTACTGTACACGTCCGCATCTGGTCAACCAGATCTCATAATGGGAGGTGCACAATCTAATCTGCCTCCTCGTCCTTTAGGTTTTGAATATTTCTGTATTGCTATTCGATCGTCAGACAAAGTTCGCGTTATCCTTGGAACGGATTACGAAGTCAATATTATTCGACAGGCCATACAAGAATCATGGCCGCCCGGTATACAAAACGAATCTTTCCAACTCAATGGTGTACACGAATTCAAACTGAACGGACGCCCATTTTTGCTGAACATTTCCTTCGGCGATGCTGTCATGTCCAGGAGAATGGCGGGGAATATTTTGCACGGACTGCACCGGGTTGGGTGGAGGCTGATTATGTCCAGCGACTTAACTAGGACAACAGAATTGACCACTTGGGTATTCAAGAAAGTTCCCGTGGCAGTGGTATCGTCTTACCCATTTATGGTAGTGGGATTGAGCAGTACTGACAGTTTTATGATTCTGAATGCACCGACTCAACTGCACCAAACATTCAAGGACGTAATCGGGAAATCTTGGTCCCCGGGGATACAGAATTGGTCCCTTGAGAATGGTGTATTGTTGATCAAATTGAGAGGTACCCCCTGGCGACCAGATGGTGAGGAAACCGTGAATTCGAGAGTCCTTTTGCAAACCCTTGTGAATGATCTTCTCCTAAAACAATGGAATTTATATGGTAATTCTAATCTCAAAAGCAACACCAACACGCTGTTCTTTGAACATGATCCCAACATCATGCTTGGGCAATATTCTGTCAATCATTTCATCATAAGCCTCAACAAACATGACACCCTAAGGCTGATAGGCGTTCCAGACAACTTGAACTTTGCCATCCGTGACACTATCCAGACCAGCTGGTTAAGAGGAATCCAAGGTGAATCGCGTTACTTTGGCAGCTGGGAGTTCAAACTAAGAGGGAACCCATGGTGGGCTTCAGGAGAAGAGGCAGTAGACTCCAGGTATCTGATATTAAAGATGATTGAAACCCTACAGGCTTATGGATGGAGCATCATTGCAAGTATTGCCAGCTCAAGGAAACTGTCAGATAAAAGCGCCTTGCTTTTCAGACAGTCACAACCAAGACAGATGCCAGTTTTCTGTCTGAGTTTGAATGAGACCGACAAGCTGCGGCTGATTAATGCACCAGAGGATATCACCAAGGTAAAAAAAGTGAAAAACAAAAAGAGTAAAACCTGTATAGATTGTTTTCATGTCTGTCACGCAACAAAAAAATAAATTGTAAACCGTCCAGTGGAAGAAGCCAAGAAAAAGAAATGTTATAAAAGACTAATATATAAACAAAATTATTTGTCCAAGTCTCAGGTCTTTGTGGCCTACAGTTTCTGAGTAATTTGCCAAAACATTTCACGCACCTTTGTAGATCTTTGTCTGGAGACGCCATATTGGTGTACAGATTTGGTGCACCAATATAGCCGCCGCAAATCAACAAAAACATCCAAAGTTCACTTTTTCTACAAAAGCTCTTTCTTTTCCCTCGAGAACTAGCATACGTGCGCATAAACATGTCTTCTAATACTTGAAATGGTTATACTGCTGAAAATCAAGAGGAGAGACTTTTTTTCAGTGAGACAGCATTCCTATTTTGGTGTCACACACTGTGAAAACTCGGAAGTTCAAATTGCCATATTTTCGAAATGAAACATGCTACGAGAATGGAAACTTGTCCAAAGATTTTTTTGTTTGCCTTCAACCTAGTGTAAATAAGAATTTGTAAAACTTTGCTATTTTGACTTTACAATTTGATGAAGTCACTGTGAAAACCATACATTACAGTGAAACCATATGTTCTTTTGAGCACCACTTAGTGATACTGTCAACTAACTATTATTAACCCCCCACCCCCCCTTCTAATGCAAGGTTGATGTTTTGATTGGCAGTTTGCTCAGAGCTAATTGAAAGTTCAAATTGCACCTCATCTCAGAATATTGCAGATGGATTTTCAGCCTGCATTTACCCGAGAGTGTCACTAAGCAGATACTTACACGTGGGTGTTTTATTGTAGTTATCTTAGGTCACTTCAGTGCCTTGATAATATTAGTGAGCAGGCTAAGCCTGGTAGAATTATTTCTGTACACTTATATTTGTTGGAATGGTGCATTGTAATTCAAGGAAATATACCAGCAATATTTTCTATCAACAGCAAATATATGCATGTTTGAAATACGTTTTTTGAGTAGAACGTATTTCGTAGAGCGCTTGACTCAATTGATTGAGGAGCATCAGCTATAACTTCACAGAAGTTCAGATTGGCAGCCTTCCAATTCCAACAGTTCAGTCATCAAAGTTGCCTAATGAGTATGGTCCTTGCACCATACGAAACAGTTCTGTAGCAATAAAACGATGATTACTTGTGAAACATGTTTGAAATATATTTTTTTACAGTTTATTTTCTAGGCCTAGACTCTCATTTTTTTACATCTCCAAACATGGAATAATACTTTATTCTTTTTTCAAACTATTTTTCAGGTATGCCAAAATGTAATTCAAAGCCAGTATGTTCTTGGAGTTCAGAGAGTACAGCGTTATGGCAACAGCCTTGAGTTCAAACTTCTTGGTAACCCATGGAACTGTGGCATAGACGGTCATGATGGACTTCATGGCAGAAGTCTGATATGCCATTTAATTAATGCTCTGGCAAGCAGCAGTTGGAGGCCGGTCACTTCAGCAGATGTGTCGGCGAAATATGTCCATCAGGATAAGGGTGCTGATTATCCCATTGATGTTGACAGTATATTCTTTGCACATGACCCCACACCCGTTCAGCCATCAGCACCGCCTCCAATGCCTCATTTTCAGTCATATTCCCAACCTTATGGTCCCCCACCATCTTATGGCTCTGTGCAGTATGGTAACCCTCCTCCGTATGATCCACCAGCCTATGGAGGATTTGCTATGCAGTAGTAAGGCTTAAACCCTTTACATGTAAGTCCCAATAGTGACAAACATCAATTTTCTCCTAACAATAATTATATATGCATTATCAAGATATAAGGTTATGAGAATTAATAAAATGATCACCAAAGAGAAAATTCCTTGATCTTTTATTAAATTCTCTCAACTCATTCTTTAGGGAAATGTAAGGAGATCAGTTTGGAGAATTTGTATGAGGATATTGGGCTTAAAGGGTTAAAATGTGCCTTCATGCAGGGTTTTGGCCAGAAGGGTGTCCAGGTGTCCTGTAGAGGTGGACCAACTTGTAGAAAGAAGTCAACAAAAATTAATCCCTCCTGGACAACTGGTTTTCCATGTCTGGCCAAGACCCTGTCTTCATCTATAGAAAATAGGCAATTTAATAAGAGAAAGGTAAATATTCAATATGGGTGTTGTACAGTTGAATATTTAAGTGTAAAGTAAAAAAGCATTTGCAAACCGGTTCATGGAGATGATACCCTAAGTAACATGTGTCAGGAAGAGAAAAAGAGAAACAACAGAAATCAGCTGTTGTTACCCTAGCCTTTGTTAATTAACTCGTGCATCTCTGGAGTTTGTTTAAGATTTTAATGGGGTTTTCTTCTTAATTTTTTTCTGTATTTATGGTTAGTTCAATTGTCACAATATAAGCAGTTTGTTGGCAGCCGGCTAAAAAAAATGGCTACTTGGTGGTTTGAACCATCTACTTTTTGGGGAAAAATAGGTAAATTGAGATAGTGAAAGCCTGAAATTGCCTACAGCACTCAATTACCAAGCTGCCTACTTTTACATCCTAGCTGTCTACTTTAAAACTTAATGAGAACCGTGGTTATTATTACCATTATTATTATTATTATTTATTTATTTTATTATTATTATTAATTCTTTTTTTTAAGGTGTGGAAATTTGCGAAGTATTCCACTTTTGGATGACTACACTGTAAATAAGTGGCAGTTGCACAGTTTAGAAGTATAAGGAAACCAAGAACTGAAGAATATATGTCAAATATGTTAATAGTAAGTGTCACACACTGTATCTGATATCAAAACAAGAAATGTCATGAAACATAAGTTTAAAATTTTATTGTAATTAAGGGGGAAAGCTTGAAAACTTTTACAAAAGTGATATCGTTTTTTAATCAAGAATCATATGTATCAATGAGTTTATGAAATTAAACCGGATGAATGAAGGTGTTTCAGAATGACTTTAGAGAATTATTAGAATTAATATATTACACAAGAGAAACAATGTCCTGTCCAATAGCAACTAAGATGCAGCTGCGTTTGTGTCATTCTTCTGGGTTCTTGACGTTGACAATGAATGGATTGAACAATTGATCAATCAATTATTTATGCAAATATAAACCTTCACAGAAGCCAATTCCATTTTTTCTTCGTGAATTACGTGGATCAATGAGTTTAATAATAGGCCCAAAGCCTCTGTTTCAAAGTGATGCTTTTGACATGAAATTGAAATTTTACTTTCATGCAAATAAAACTCATTTTCACAGGACAAGTTTGTACCAAACCTCGCTTTGAAAGTGAGGGTTTTTGGAAATAGGAAATGGCCTATTACACATATACTTCAGAAGCCTTCTTCATAAGGATGCTAAAAAATTTGATGAGAGACAAGAAAATTGGCATCTGCTGAAAGAGGAGAAGAGTCAATGGCAGATCCAAGGGAGGGGTGGGTGGCCCAGGCCCCCACTTATTTATAGGTCAAAACTTATCTTGAAGTGTGAGCCCCCCACTTATGTAAAGATCTTATTCTGCTACTGGAGATATGCAAGATATTAATTTTAGACTTTATCGTGGTATTTGTATGATATTTTTGTTTCTCGATAGTCGCTAAACCATAATATTCAGTCTACAAGGTGGACAAGTTGTTAACCGGATAAATGTGTGACAGCCGTAAAAACGTGTGGGAAAAAAAAGGAGTCTTGTAGACATTAAGCCTTGTAAAAAAACAATGACGTTACGTTTAACTTCGAAAAAATAAATTGAAACATTTATCGTGTTGAAAACTGATTACAACTGTGTTTGTGGTTTTTCTCACAGTAGTTTCTTGGGGAGGGGTGGTGTTAAAATTGGCCTGCTCCCAGCAACGTAAGGGTCTCCATAGTTCAGTTGGTAGAGCACTGCAGCGCTAACTCAGAGGCCACAGGTTCGAATCCCGTTAAAGTCCCGAAATTTTTTTCGGGTTAATTAGCAATTGCTTAAATTACAACTACCAAATTGTAATTAATATCCTCATTTATTTCCACACTTCACATCATCTTCATTCTGAGTAGTTATTTAGTTCAACTCGTACCATGCATCGCATCCGTAAAATAATTTGAAGGCAACGCGCGATTACTAAATGACTACTGGCTTTTCGAAGGAAGCAAGATAAGATTTATTGGCCTTTGTCCGGATAAAACCGATTTTACAAAGTAATATAATGGTATGATATCTGCATATATGTTTAAAGTCACAACAAAACGTCAAAAAGAAAAAGAATAATGAGGCTATTAATTTATCACAAAAAACATGATATAAGTAGCAAACAGAAGCACAACAAGGCTGCGAGAGGCAGATACAAAGGAACCTTCGCCTTCAGGATCTCCAAGGGTGGGCTGGAGACATGGTGATTTTGTTGGAGGTAAAGGCTTGGTGACTTTTGGATTTGGTAACCACTCATATTTACCCTGTGGAATATAAAATAAAATGTTACAATTCGCAGCAACTGTGTCCTCTAAATAGAAACCAAACCCTCTATTTCCTCTGTAGAGATCGTCGAGCGCGTATGGAAATGAAAACCGCCGGGATATATTGGACGCTAACGTAATGGGCTGGGGTGGGGAAAAAAGAAAAACGCCCTCGCGCGCGTGCTCGTCGACTGTCAAACGGAAAAACTGAAGAAAACAACGTCCATGTACAGACTACCTCTAGATATGTGGAGAAGCAACAGTTATTCATAGTCTGTCCCCTTCGAAGACTAATAACTAAGATTATTTTAAAATCGAAAAACTGTTTTACAAAATTCTGCTACAAAGCTGAAAAGGTGCTGGCCTCGAAGCTTTATAGGCGATTTCTTAAGATCGGTTGGGTTAATGCCCAGTTTGTCACAGATTGTGAAAGGCAGCAGGCAAATGAATGGTCCAGGAAAATTGGATAACGAGCTGTAAATGGATCAATAAAGGCACATGGGCGATTCAAGATAGGAATAGAACATCATCTTTTTTCCAATAAGGAAGGGCAGGACACAGCACAGTTTGACCCAGCGGGTGTAAAACAGGGTAATATTTTCTAGTCTTATCGACAGAGTACAATTATCTTCACACTAGATGTCACAGCAAGCTTTTTAAGCTCGTACACTCTTGCACAAGTACTAAAGCGCACCAAATTTTGAGTTGCATCTACCCTGCAATTCGTTCATTCGAAAACAGGTTTACAGCTTGAGGCGTATGAATTGTCTACTGATGTCACTGATAATCATGAACTGAAAGCACTTACCCAGCCTTTACATAGAGCTGTGGATCCCATGGCGTTATCCATTCTTGATCGCAAATCTGACACCATGTCTTCGGTCCATGTTATGTTCATACCAACCATAGGATTTGGGTAAGTTACGTTAACATCCGGACTAAAATCAAAAATCAACATATTCGATCGAGGTTCGCTATGAGCATTTGAACTCATGGTGTCAAAGCTTTTGTGGCGGGACAAGAATGGATACCAGACTAAAAATACAACAACTGTTAATTAAGACTAAGGGCCGGTAATTTAACCGCTGCCAGTTTAACAAAACTGCGTCAGTGGTAGGTCATTTAACCAGGTTAGACCCATATCTGAACGTCGTTTACTTTAAGCAGTGTCAAGAAGGTTCTTCTATAGCTGCGGGGCAGACCAAAATGTTTAGCTTATGAAACTGATAATCCAAGCGTAATCAAATTGGAAGGTCCACCAATTGTCTTAAACTTAGGCAGTCTAAGTAGACTTCTTTAAATAACTTAGAGAAATTCAGTTCTCAACGTACACCAAATTTTGCCATTTATTTCTGCAATCAATCAGGTAGGTCATCTATCTAGATTATGCAGTCATTTCTTCAAGTTGGTTGATGTTTGAAGGTAAACTTGCCTATGTGTTTTCTTCGCTAGGTCACCAAAATTTCCGTTTTTAAGATCGTTATGGTTCAATAAGAATCTTTTTCTTCAGTGTAAGTACTTGCTATTAAATGCAGTCTTTGATTGGAAAGCATGATGAGATGTTACTTACAAGTATTTCCCAACAAAGTCTTTGATTGGCGCGTACAGTAAACTGCTACAGAACTGATAAATATTCGCCATCCGTGGGTAATAAAATAGAAAGTCAATGCACATTTCTTGGGAGGTAGCCTGGCCACCCTGCGTGTTTCAAATGCATAGAAGATCAAGATAGCGTGAGAGCAACATATTATTAGGTAAAGAGCGGGCATCCATATATTTAAAAAGGTTAATGCATTTCAAAGTTAGCGTCCCAAAAAGAGGTCTTCAGTCCCGTAATTCCGATTCCAATTTCCCATCAATTCTGTAATCTCGATGGTTATTTTCCGAATCCCGCTCTCATTTTGGTATAAAATCCCGAATCCCGGGCTTCGAATAAGGCAAATCACGCTCCCCGAAAAACCGACCATTTGTTTTGGGGTGTCTTAAGGCATACTTTTCTTTACTATAATTCAGTAGATTAAACAGAACTAACTGAGAATTTTGAGATGCTGAGAAATGTATGAAAAGCAGTCAATCGTAAGTGAGACGTGTGAGTGCAGGTTACAGAAGAGCTGCTTGAGAAAAAGGGCGCGACGTCGACGATTTTTATCTACTTCCTTCTTTGCTGCATTTAAAGTTTGCGACATGACGACGCAAAACGTACTTTGGTAAGGTTATCTTCACATTATACCTGACAGCTTTTGCGCCGCCACGAAAATCATACCGGATCGGGTTTCTGTTCACACACAAGAACGATTTCGAAAGTCGAGAGTCATATATCGGATAGGTTTTGTGCCCTACTTTGGAGCAGTGTGACCACCTTAGTAACTAAGTTTGTGCGAGGACTAGAACCCGCTGAGGCGAAAAAATATTCAGAAGTGAGAACTGGACACCAAGCCCTCTCGGCCAACCACGCCGGCACGATGTTAGATGTGGGTGAACGACTTGTGCCGCCCCGCGCTGTTGCTGTTCATAGTAAATAAATATAACGGACAGGTTTTTGCTGCGCCACAAAAAGCTGCCTGGTACTGAATCTGAACATAACCTAAGCATTCTTACCACAACCATTTTGTCACGGTCCAATGTTTGGTATTTGCAGTAATGAACCAAGTCATCGCCCTGAGTGCGAACAACAGAAAGTTGCTCAGTATTGAATGACATTAGAATGCTAACAGATGAGCAATTCAGGGGTCTGTTGTTATGATGGAGTAAATATTTACCGGTTTGATGTGAGCTTCCTTCCTCAACATTTGTATGTCCTACCAACAGAATAAGAAAAGTGTTTACTACTCATGGAACAAGCCATGTACTGTATAATATTCACAACTCACTCCTCAGACTCCTCAGGGTAGGATTCTTAATGGCGGTTTTCCTCGTCCGCTTGAACATTCCTCGATACTGGTTCTCGAACTTGCATTTGAGTACGAAGAGAGTTTTCATATACTGGACGTATCCTACTGTATAGTCTCTGAGAAGCAGGTCTACCTTAGTTCACAACAGTGTGTGGAAGAATGGCCTTTGAATAGAGCTGTAAAGAGAGCTTGCTATGCATTGTCCCCTACCATACCTGGAAATTAAAATCGTAGTTTTCGTCTCTTGCAATCTCTGGCAATTCAACTCCGTCACGATAGTGTTTTGTCCATGTTGCACGTCCTGCAAATTCCATATTTAAATAGAGGAGAAATTAAGACAAACGATGGGACACACTTTGCCAAAGGGAGGGACTAGCCCTGGACAGTAGAATACTCTACACTCAATCACCAAGTATCCAGAAAGTACTCTGGTTTGTCTCGACATTTAAATAGGTGTTGAAAAACACAATACCTCTCCAAAAGTCCTCGAACACACATGACTGCATCATTGATGACATACCTTGAAGATGAGTATGTAGGAATGCAGCAAAAACGTTAACACCTTTTCCAGGTAGTTTCGTTGCATTTAAATGTTCCTAAGAGCAGTAAGAAAAAAAAAATTACAAAACCCAAAATATAGTCATAAAAATGCTCTCTAAACTACTGAATCGCATTCGGTATATCTTACTTGTGTGCATTCTTTGGGGCAATAACCAACGGAGATCCAGGATTCTTGCTTTGGTGGAATGACCAGAAATGAATCTGTGCTTGGTCCGACAGATAATATACCAGCATCGTATTGGCGAAGATTTGAAGTGTAATAAAATTTTACTCCAGAGCTGTCAGTGCGTCCTTTGTCAAAGGGATAAATTAAATAATGAATAAGATTTTATTAAAAATTGTTGTGTTCACCCCCAAAAATTGACTTCTCTTCCTTAGCCGCTAGCCGCAGTATTAATAACTTGACTTTAAAGGAGACTTTGACATTGTTTAGTGTAAAAACTTACAAATGGAGGAGAAGGGGGTGACGAAATCCTCTCGCACAGATGGATGCATCCACAATCAAAAATACAGTCAAATAATATATCTCATGTTGCACTTTGTACAGACCTTCAATCCCTTCTGGGTTGTCGTAATGCATCTCCAACATATACTGTTTGGGAGAATCTGCCATTCCAATTGGGTAACCAGCTTTTGGCGGGTAGTAAAATGCCTGAGATGAACATAAGGTGAAACGAAACTGAATTATGTACAAGAAGGCAACTAGTTTTTCTAATCTTTTTCGCATGACCACATACTTATTTTTTCATTAATTTTTCGTTTAATTATGTACATGAAGACTTAACCTGAAAGCTTCCCCATAAACGTTCTTTTCTAATCTTTTTTCGTAATGACCAAAAAGAATGTCATCCTCGGAGACCCAGGGGCGGTCAGTTGGGTCAGAAAGAACGGTGGCGAAAGTTTTCAGGAACGGGCAGGAGATCCCCTGGGATGTTACTCATAACGAACCAGTTCCACGACCTATTCGAATGTTTTTTGTGCCCAATCACAGACAAGCATTAGAGTAAGTCGTGAAACTAGTTCTTTGAGAGAAGCATCCCAGGGGCTCTCCTGCCCGTTCTTGAAAACTTTCGTCGCCGTTCTTCCTGACAAAACTGACCGCCGCTGGGTCTACAAGGATAAAAGAATGTCAGCTTGGTAGGCTATAACGACTATAATGACACGGACGGGAATGCTTGTCGTCTTGCTTAGGGGTGTAAGTTAAAGATTTTTGTCTCATTTAAGATTTTAATACGGAATGCCCATGGTCTTATCCACAAAGTTACCCCTTAGGACTGTGCGTGAAGAAGTAGGGATAGCCAAAGCCGAAACGAAGAAAGCATTCAATAGCTCCTGTTTAACCGTCTGTCTTAAACTGTTATCGTTTGAGTGGTCAAGAGCTATACCTACTCAATGAGGGTTAGTCTCTTAGTCACGATGTTTTAATATTAATCTAAGGAGACCATACCAGTCAGACCAGTATTCAGTTCAATCACTTTACAAAAGACCTTCTCCCGGTCATGTCGAAACGACATTTTCACCCCTAACATGTTTTGATTAAAGTTTGTTTCGAATAAAGCCTGCTATTGAAATGCCAAACTTTATTTCAAATAAGTACTGTAGGAAATTTAGTTTTGATGTGATATAGGGACGGTGCGCTTATCTAAAGAGATGCTATAAAGTCACTATGATCTCCCAAAAGCTGTGGGTATCGAAATACCTTAAATCTCAGTGCCAAATTAGGTCGTGTGTCTCATTACTCCAAAAAGTACCTAGTGGTTAAATGTTCATTGTATCTCCTTACCTGGCCGCCTACTCCCCAGGCAGCTATTAGACTTGGAGTAACCATGTAGCACTGCAAGAGTGGCATGTTGGCAAAGTCAAGACAGTCAAACCCAACACCAAAATGGCTGTTGTTATAATTTCCATGGCACTCGTACACTACTAGGTGGTGAACAAAACCTTCGTTATCCTTTTGTAAATATGGCTCGAACTGAAACAAAATGATAATAACAAATAACAGCAATAATAATCATCATCAACATTATCATCATCATCATCAATCATCCTTATCAAAATCAAGCATGCATTTTTTCACTAGAGAATATAGTTTTGCGCTTCAATAATTATCTGACGGTATGCAGTCAAAATGCGAACCATTTCGTTAACACGAGGTGGGAAAGGACAATGTTACCATGTGACGATTGTCATTATTATTATTATTATTATTATTATTATTATCATTATTATTTTGTTTTTTGGTGCCGGCTTTGGGATGATATTCAAATAGTAGTGCTGTAGGCCTCGTATATATTCAAGAGACTATATTCTCTCATTGTTTGTTTAGTAAAATATAATGGTCACCTTTGTGATATGGTGCTTTCCTTTGATCTCAGGTGCTTTGATCAGAGTACACCAGTAGGTTGTGCGTTTCTTGGGAATTGATATCTGCAACCAAGATCACGAAATTCTTAGCTGATGGACACTGTGAAAGTGCCATGTACAATAATCACAATTAACCAAATGGTTTTATTGCATCAATAAAGTTGGCCCCCATGATGTCAGTATTAATTGCGCGCAAAACGAAAGTACTTCAGCAACGAAAACTGAATTGGAATCCCTTTTCACAGCGGCTTTGCCCAATATAAATATTAAAAAATACAATTTTGCCCCCTTAACTTATCCAGTTTCTAAAGCATTTTGTACATATAAAGAGCTGAGTCACGAAAGTTAAACCAATTTCAGACTGCCAGTGCTAATACTGAGCATGCTCAAAAAATTTGAATTCTCATTTGTTGCCCCTATTCATTTCCTACAGAAGTAGTGGGGAGAAGTTGATAAAAAGTCATTAAGCAAATTCATCTTGTGTGATCATGTCCGTAATTCTCATGACCACTCTGTTTTACAAAGCATTGATATTACAAGGAAAGATTTGATGCTGATCACTGTTAGGGCTTGTCATACTAATGACATCACAAATGTTTCGTGGAGGAGTTTCGAGAGCTTTGACCGAACTTTCGAGATTCTGCTGGAGTATGAACTAAGAAGCAATTTCGTTGATAATAGTTGAATCCCAACAAAACGGAAGAATCTTCATTCTCTTATTCTTTTTCTAACAAGGTAAGGTAAATCTCAGTTCCTATAATAATGAGTGTGATATTCGTTGTTTTTCTTTCTAACCGAAAGCTAAGTTCGTTATCTCACATGATCTTACATTTTTGTTTTGGAGTACAAAACTCTTCCATCCTGTTTCGTTAATTTGTTTCTTGTCCAACTTGTTTAATAGTAGTATGCTTCTTGACCCTCTGAGAGTGTGCAGTTTAAAATCGTTTTCGGATTTAGGATCTTCAGTGTGAAATGCAAACACCACTTTTGTTGTGCCTTCCTGTTATAAAAAACAACAATAATAAACGGCGTTTGGTGGTCAGCCGACAAAGATATTCCCTCAACAAAGAAAAGTACAGCAGAACCCCCGCTTTGCGGATACCTCATTATTACAGATAGTTTACTTTGTCCCAGGGGCAAAAAGCCCTTACATTTTTCTCTTAATACGGACGCCCCGTTGACACGGACGCTTTCTTTAACCTGCTCAGTATCCATATTAACGAGGTTTTACTGTTATTCGGCATAGAATATTGATCAAGTTTATCATGTTATAATCACCGTTATCTTTCTGTCCCTAGGATCGCATGTGTCAATTTTTCTGTTTAATCGCAGCACAGTTTTCTTCCCAGTTTCCTCGAAGCCAGTCAAGACGTAATTTTGTTCCCTGTCCTTAGGTGGCAAACTCCTTGCATCTGCATAGCGGTCCTGCGGCGCAAATATAAAGTAAAATTTTATGAAATCATCATTGTGTTTCCCTGGTTCTGCCATTCAAGACATCCCAGACATGCAAATGAAAACAAATTTCACAAGCAACCCCCGACCCAATCCCAATAAAGACCTGAACACCTATAATACCTATGTTATGTTCTCACATAACGTCATATCCGCCATATTGGTGTCCCAAAGCAATGAAACAACGAACACTGAGCAAACCAGTCCTATGGAGAAGGCGCCTTTTTCTTATGTAAAACCGTTCTTTTTTTAAATAAATTAAATTTGTATAGCTGTTGGCCACGTTAGCGAAAAGGATTCTGAGGATTTAGGTTTCTGTTTTATTGGCATAAGTGGTCATTATCCTGCTATTCTGGATTTAATTTTTACTACATGTAGTAGTCTCGAATCGCCCTGAACTGATTAGCCTATAATCGCAGATTATCACATGATGTCAAAATCGAAATCCAATATAGCTGCATACTTGCCAATATGCTATTGTGAGAATTTTCAGGAGTAGCCCCCAGGTATCCTGGCAGTGAGAGCATTCCTCTCTGACTTGTTTAATGTAAATCCTTTCGTTTCTAATTCAGACCATCACAGTCAACCTTAGACACGATTAACCCCCTGTCTATAAACTGAATGGAAAGGTCATGCACTGTATATAAAATACGTAGCGCTTTTAAAATATCCACGGGGTGGGGAGAAATGATCGCCTAAAACGGACCTGTGGCATTTGAACGGCTATTTGGCTCAATAGACCATAATGCACTTTACTGAACCCCCAAAATTTTGCATAACCTTTGTTTCCAATTTCTCCTGGGTATAACAGTCGTCCCAAGAGAAAAATTGTGAACAATATTTGAAAAAAGTCAAATGTCCGGGGGTTCTCCGGGGTGATGTTAAAGCTTCGATTTCACCAATACATGACGCAATCCAGCTGCTTTGACTAGGATCACAGGTACGGGTCCGTATTTGGGGTGTTGACTTCGTCTTTTCAATATCTTTCCTTGACTCCTAATGAGTTATGTTTCCTTAACAGCTCGCTTGCCGCTGCGCCGCTGTACAAGCTTAACTTGGCATTTCTAAAGCGTACCCTAAGTGCATCAATTCAACAGCTACTATGATTACAGAAAAATAAGAATATAGCTTCATCCTCACCGTTATATATCCCTTGGAGTCCTTCACCCAACCAATAACAACATCACTACCGACCATCATGCCGTTACCTGAAGAGAAACCGAACCCGACCCATCCAGTAGTCGCCGCCTCAACAGCGAACGATATGGTCTCCTTGTCCCAGTCAACTGTCCAATACAGTTTCATTAGTTCTGCAGGATCCAACACCGCGTGATGGGCATATTCAGATGAGAGATCAGCGATGCCACTTGAGGTTAAAGCTAAAAAGGTAATTACCAGTAGCAACATGTTTCATATAATTGACCTTCTTCGAAGAACACTGCACTAATCTACTTAGCTTTCAAAGACGCAAAGGTATGCAATGCATCTGTTTGTATGACACTGATCATGCTGATGTGTTAATTTCAACCACCACGTGTCACGTAATACAACTATTAGCCTATAATCGGTTTCCTTACTAATTCAGTGTATAGAATAGATAACCTTTACAAGTTTGTAAAAATTCAACTTCATTTACAATATTGAACTCGAGTGTGCAGTAGCATTTGTGATCATTGTAATTTATGCTTACAGCAAAATATCAGTGTCGGAGATTACCTATATATTATATTATTTTCGCTTATTGCTGATTAGATCCTTGATTAGGATCCGGCCTTCTTTTCTTCCCCCGAAACGTCCCCAGCGGCGAAGAGCGAGGAGAAACAGCTGTTTCCGCAGGCTACCTTGCTTCAAAAATTGAATTTAGGAGGCTAACATCATTTGGTTCCCCAAAATTAAATTTCCAGGAGATTACCAGCCGCTGTACATGGCCATACGGGAAATGAGCCATACATAGCCATACATAGCCCTACATAGACCTACATATTCGGGGAATGAGCCCGCATTCCTCGCCGGGAAGGACCGAGGGCAAGTAACAATTATTTGCCAGACCGAGAGAGCGGTGGAATTTTCGTGCGGAAACCATCCCTTTATCTTACTTCAGAAAATTTATAAAGAAAAAGAGATCCAGTGGGACAGCAAAACAAAGAATTAAATAAATCGATTTACAGAACGCCAGTAGTGAGGACAAGCTAGACGAGCCGCGAATAGCGAACTGTAATGGTTTAATCGCAACAACAACTTGATTACAACAATGTTTGGCTGCCGAGTGCCACGAGGTACAATGACGAAACATAATTCTCATGCGCGGTCAACAACGCCCGCTGGCGGAAAGGTCATGTACAGGTTAAACGATCGATGAGAAAATTCGACCACTGGATTCCCCGCGAAATGCCAGGTCGGAAATCAATACTAAACGATCGTTAGCCAGGTTAAACGAAAACCCAACAGGCGAAATTTCAACAACAACAACGACCACTGGATTCCCCGCGAAATGCCCAGTCGGAAATCAATAGTGGCGTCGCGAACCGATTCTCTAATTGCTTCTTCAGACTATTTTGCTTTTTTCAGGATTTCATTTAAACGACCGCCATTTTGGCCAAATTTTATTGTTACGCAAGAGAGTTTTTGTGATAATGCGCACAAAAGGCTCTATTTAACAGCCTAAAATTCAAGAACTCGTATACCGAGGGTGAATTTATCTTTCTCATTATCATAATGTTTACTGTCATCATCATCATCATCATCATCATCATCATCATCATCATCATCATCATTATTATTATTATATATTTTTTTCTCAACCTCGTCCCCAGGGCATCTTCTATTTTTCACCAAAGTCTACTAGCACTAGATGATGATGATGATGATGATGATGATTAGAATAGTGTTAATAACGGTAATGGCGGTGGTGATTATGATAAAATGGACAGACTCCAAGGGTGAATATGAATAATTTTACTTTATTTCAATAGTTTTTAACGGTACTCTTTAATACAAAAGTGAGCAATAACAAACGTTATCTAATGCACATGATTTGAAAAAAAAGGTTACTATCAGTACGATCACTAACTCAATGCTGAGCATATTGAAAACTGGAAAACGAAACAAAGAAAGCAGAGTTCGGTAATACATGTCTATAACATGAAAATTACGGATATAAAGAGGGAAACACTGCATGAGACGACCAGTGTAGAATATGTGTTTTTGCCAGCACTCTTTGGAGAGGGGTGAGAACATCTTGATTCTTGTTGAGGCAGAGGGGTTGTAATCTTTGGTACTGGCAATGTTTTGAACGGAGGTTTGTTACCTCGCTGAAAAATAAGCAGCAGAAATTTACATATCATATGGAAATAATACCTGTGAATTTTTTTACGCATATAATCAAAGAAGGAGATTAAAAATTATAGGAATGACGGGGCTGCTCGTAGCCTTCAAAAGATTATGTATTTCAGGTCGTCGCTTCTCTCCACTCGAACCATGCAAAAACATGTCTGCGTTTGCAGGCTAAACTTCTCGTCGTAACTTTTAGGGGTCAAAATTTGTGGACTATGGTGCTCTAATCTGGGCTTTTCAGGGATAATTTACAACAGTGGTTGGGGGACTTTTGCCAGACTGCTTATGATACAGTTTACAAGTAATGAGGGAACGAGAGATGATGCCCCCTATGTGGATGTGAATTTGAATTTTAAGGCCCCTACTCTTTACGCACAGTGTGAGGGTTCTTAAACGCCCCACTGAATTCATTAAAAGCTCAGGTGATGTGAGACGTGGCCTACGGAATACCACTTTATACCGATAATGTTTGAAAGACGAGTTATAGCCGAACTACGAGAAATGTTTCTGAATACTTGGTTAATCCGTTAGTCTTTTTAATTCATTCTTCCATTGATACTTCAGTTTTTAATTAAATTAAGCTAGAATTTTTATAAAAACCTTTCCAATTAATAAGTCCAGGACAAATTCTTATGCCGGAGGTAAATTTGTGTTTCAAATATTTCAAAACTGGTACTTAATTTCTTAAAATATTTATAAGTTTAAATCAAAAAGGATTTTAAATAGTATAGTTCACATACCATGTAGCAGGTTGGGGTAAAGGTTCTGTCTTCACTGTATCCTTTCTTCAATTTTGATATCATTTCTTTGGTCCAACTAATATCCTCATCTTCAGCAAGGGGGTTATGAAATGGGGACGTGATATTCAGAGAAGGACTAGAAGGAAAAAAATTGAAACAGAGAGGTCCCCCCATGAAATATCTAAAAATGTTAAAGATTTTAACATTTTTTTGGCCACGCTAACGTAACACATTCATGAGATATTTATTCTTTCATATCGAACTCTACCAAAACGTTTGCCTACAAGTTGCCGTACTGACGAAATGTACAGCTCTTTATAAAACTTGATAGTTCACCAACAGCTTCAAAATACTGTAGTTTCTTTATACGGTTATTTTATTATTACTATTTTCTCTGAGGGGATCAAATAAAAGCACAGTTGTACAACAACAAAAAAAAACAAACAAACAAACTGATACTCTCAATAAGCCTTCGTCTTGGATTCAAAATAAGATTCTCGCACGTTAGTTGCTTATGTTTTGGACTTGCCATTCATTCCTATTCAGAGGAGGAGCACAATGGGAAAACGGGAATGTGAAGTGTGGAACATATTAGCAGTAAAAGAAAATCTACTCACTAGTACTTGTTGATAAAGTCATGAACTGGCTTGAACTGTGTACTTGTGCAAGAAGTTTTAAGTTCTTTCACCAGCGGGTAGTAAAATATAAAATTAAGGCACATTTCTTGGGAGGTAGCGCTACCACCCTACAAATGATTGCAACACAACAGCCATTTTACAATATAGAAAGTGCATTCATAGTACATAGTAATGTGCAAACGATACTGCATGCAGCTAGAAGTAAGGAAGCTTTACTCAGAGTCAGGGCATAGGTTTATCGTCGTTTTTTTCTGACCAGTGAAAAATGCAAAGCTGGAAGAAGGTGTGACGCGAAAATTTAGGTGAGCGCGGTTCAAAATTGTAGTTTCCTCAAAGCAAATCAGTACAAATGAAGATAAATTTCATTTCAAGCCAGTTTCTCTTTTTTCGTGACTGTTTTGATTCAAGTTATAAAATAAACATGTTCATTTGGTGTGAATGGGGCATTAGCTAAATTCAGTCACTGTAAGACCACTCGCCACCAAAATGAACGAGACATGTAATAAATTGCTTTAGACATTGAAGGAAGACTCTGAAGGGGTAGTTAGAACTGTATGTATATACCAACCACGACTAGCTTGTCACGATCCATAGTTTGGTATTCACAGAAGTGAACCAAGTCATCTCCCTAAGTGCAAGAGAATAATGAGTTCACACGAGTTCATAAGCTAATCAAAAACGCATATTCTACCCAATGGTTAAAGAGAGATAACTTTAACTGAAGTCTAGTAAGTTACGTAGTGTTTTTAAAACATCCATTGCGAAGACCTTTTCGCGTTACTATAATCCCTTCTTTAAAAGAGACACTAACCCTAACTCACCTGTTAGACCTTCTAATTTTTTTGTGGTTTCAGTGATCCGTTTTAACTTCATGCAGATCCATCTCTTGCTTAATTGCAGGCAAATTTTTATCTTTACCCATGCATGGAGCAAAGCCTAAGCGTGATGGGAATTCCGCTTGTTATCAATAAATAACTCGGCTTACCGGCTTAATATGAACTTCTTTCTTCAGCACTTGAATATCCTTGAAAAAAAATTAAAAGTTTTTAAGCAGTGCTTTAAAAACGTTTACTGAACAGTGTCTCCATTTAATTAGTAACATTAATTTAATCGTTTCGGACACTCTTGGTATTTTCATCAAACACTACTGATTATCTAAGATGTAAATGAAATAACAACCACAAACCCAGAAGAGCGCTCTGAGACAAAGGTGATGAAATACGTGGTTTTAAATTGCCCAGAATAATGAGTACCTGGAAGTTAAAATCGTAGTTATCATCTCGCGCAATTTCTGGTAGTTCAACACCGTTTCGATAGTGTTTGGTCCATGTTGCGCGGCCTAGAAAATCCAACAAGTTTTGTCATAAATAAATATAAAAGTTGAGTTAATTTCTAGTCAACATGGGTAATCAACAAAGGGTAAAGGAGAAACGCCTCTGAAATTTGTTTTGATTACTCAGTGCATTAAGACCACACAATATATCTAGAGTATAAGGTAAAGGTGACAAAATTGTTTACAGAACGGTTTTGTGAGTATAGGTTCTTTTTCGAGAATCAAGCCTTTAATAATTCTCGGATCACTGTACCTTGTAGGTGAGTGTGGAGAAATGCAGCAAACACCCTGATTCCTCTGCCTGGAAGTTTTGTCGAGCTAAAAGCTTTCTGAAACAGAGTAACAAACACTTGCATTAACACCTGTAGCAGACTTACATCTACTGCTACCAAACCCTTTGATCTAAGCACTTTAAATAGACAGACTAAAATTTAGGTACAAGTGGACTCTCATTAACAAGCGTCTTTCTGTCGACTATTTCCTCCAAAGCTGAGTGACCTATGTGTTTCAACATAACTTGTTTTATGTTTTCTCTTAGATGTTAAACACAGTGTTATGTACAGGAAATTTAAAACAATTTTTTCCTTACTTCACTGCATTCTTTAGCGCAGTAACCAACAGTCAACCAAGATTCTTGTTTCGGAGGGATGACCATATATGGACTGATCTTAAGGCCAACAGCAAATATACCAGCGTCGAACTCGCGGAGATTAGAGGAGTAGTAAAATCGAGCCCCTGAACTGTCCTTGCGTCCTTAAATGAATGGAAGATGCAATATTTACTAGGCCCCGAAATACTTGCACTATGAGCTCTTTTTAACGCTAAATTAGTCCTTAAATTCCATGAATGGAAGATGCAATATTTCGTTTGTCTTTAGTTCTCGTACTGTTGGTTTGATTGATAATATTTTTAATCCCTTAGGTTTTTATTGATCAGATTTAATACTATAGTTTTAGTGATCTATACAACATGTTGCAGCTATAGTTTTAGTGATCCTACAACTTTTTTATGCCACCATCGATTCTTGCATGAATGAGAGACGTCAAAGACAAGTTATATGTATCCAGTGATTATTTAATTAACGATAAATTTTGAAACCATTTTAGTTTTACCAAATGACAAAATTAGTAGGGGTAATTACATTCAAACAAAAAACAGAAAAGGCTCTTAATTATTGGTTGGTAGTGATTGTGTTACACAATATATAAGTACTTACCCATGATCCCCTCTGGATTGTCGTAGTGAATCTCCAGCAAGTAACTTTTCGGAGTATCTACTGTTCCTACTGGAAAACCAGCATTTTTCGGATAATAAAATGCCTGTGTAGGGAACAAAGAAAAACAAATAAAAGAGGCTGATGGTCATATTAACTCTTACGCTCCACTGTGTTAGGCTGTTTCATTTGCTTTCGCAATAGGTAGCTAAAGCCTCTTATCGCTTCCCAATAGGACTATTATCATCAGACAGGCGTCCCACAGTATTCTAGTAATGCCAATTTACAATCGTTTACCTCACCACCTACTCCCCAAACTGCTAACACTTTGCCATAGAAACATTTGAGGAATGGCATGTTGGCGATTTCTTTACAATCAACACCAAAACCGTAATGACTCTCATTATAGTCACCATGGCATTCGTACACAAGAAAATGATGGACGAATCCTTCATTTCCCTTTTGAATATATGGCTCGATCTGCAAAGATAAAAACAAGTTAAAGATAGTCAAGATACTCGATGAACATGAATGAAAGAAGTATGTCAGAACTTTATGACAATTGTACAAAGATCACGCCAAGTGAGTAATAGCATATATAGAGCAATGTTTTACGGTTTATTATCAGAACGAGACACGATTAAACGATGGGTTCCAAGTCATAAAACGTGGTCTTTCACATTGATCGTTCTTTGTTTCACGAAAATTGAGTGTAAGTGTTTTTACTACAATCAATATCCTCCTGTGTATAAAAGAGCTGGAACGCAAACTGCAATCGATTACTGAAAACATCAGCGTACAGGGTGGGGGGGCTGGGGGGCTGCAGCCCCCCCTGTCGGGAAAAAATAGTATTATTCGGGCAAAACTAATGTACCATTCGGGCAAAGACACAGTAAGGTGAGACACCTGCTGCAGCGAACGACAGCTCACAACAGAGGGCAAAAGACCACTTTCGTATCACAGTTTATTACACATGTATTGACAAAGTCGTCAGTGAACTTCAATCAAGGTTTGAGGGCAATGACCTGGGCCCAGTTGTTCGAAAGCCGATTAGCTCTTAACCCGGGGTTAAATTTAACCCGGGTTTCTTTTTCTTGGGTTCAAAAGCATTTTGTCGAGTAATTTTCTCTGCTATTTTTAGAGCTTCCAATCATCAACTTGTAGACAAAAAGAAATGAAACTGACATGCTTTTTAAGCTGTCAAATCTGAATTCAAATCTCGCACTAACCCTGGGTTATCTTAACCCAGCTTTGAACAACTCGGCCCTGGAGGTTTTGTGCGCATTGGGCGAAATCGTATTCAGCCGTTCTCCAAGCATCAACAACATCCAAACTGTATGAAATTTCTATGGCGTGGATAGTGAACTGCTATCAAGTGATAAGTCAATCTTTGAAAACTACGACTGCGGGGACCCATGCCAGAGAAAAAACGCAGCCGTGATCGTAAAGACCATGCATCAAAATGGTCTCCATGACATTTTACCTGTCCTATATAAAGTTACCTCCATCCTGGCCAAAATTCCTGCAACCTCGTGCTCTGCTGAAAGGTCTTTCAGCGCCCTTCGCCGCTCAAGACATTTTTAAGATCCACAATGGGACAAGACCGGCTTAGCGGTATCGCCGTTATTAACATTGAAAGACAGTATGCAAACAAGACAATGCAGAATGACATGCAAAGGATTATTGACACATTTGGGTGTCGAAGTAATCGTTCTTCATACTTCTTTTAGAGCTCAAATTGGTACGTTTTATCTCTCACTTCATGGTTTTGTATTTTAGAAATGTTCATCTCGATTTACCGAAAATATTTGCACTATTTTGAACGTTCGTACTCTCACGGCATGGCGAAGAAAACTTGACGTCACGAAAGAATCATCTTGTGCATCTGTAACTAACAAGTTTCATTCGGGCAAATTATATTCAGCCCCCCCAACAAAATTTTTCCCGTACGCCGATGACTGAAAACATCTACCTTGGTTATGTGGTGCTTCGAGGTGATCTTAGGTGCCTTAATCAGTGAGCACCAGTAGGTTGTGTGCTTCTTGGGAATGGTAACCTGTAAGATAATCGTACATGAATTTGGGTTGAGTAAACTTGTGATAACTTTGAAATGTTTACATTTACATTACTGGCAGTAAATAAGTGTTACACACTGGAAAAAGACGAAAGTGAAGATGATGATGATGACGACGACAACGATGGTGGTGGTGGTGGTCATGATGATGATGATGATGGAGATGATGGCCATGGTAATGGTGGTGCCGATGATAATGGCTGTACTTTTTATGATTTTAGTGGGGGTCAGAAAGGGGGAGTTTGGCGCCGGAAGATGGCGGTGGTGAATGTGAAGATAATCCTGATTGACGAGTGATTTCAATGCGCCTTTTCCAGCTTTGCCGATGAGTTTCGCTAACTGGTCTATTGAAGTTATCTTATAATAATTACTAAACCCATGATCATTATCAAAGGCATCGACAGCGCTTTCTTTCTCTCGTGTGCAAATCAAACAACATAACTGTAACAAGTACATTCTTGGAGGTCTACGTAGTGTACGTTCTTACATTTTTATTTTGAACTACAAAACTCTTCCATCCTGTCTCGTTGATTTGTTTCTTGTCCATGTTGTTGAGGAGTAATATGCTCCTTGAACCTCTGAAAGTGTGCTGTTTAAAATCGTTTTCAGTCTCGGGATCCTCCGTGTGGTAAGCAAACACTACCTTTGTGGTGCCTTCCTGTGGGATACAAAACATCCTGGTTAATTACGCTGTGTAGGAATTGAGATAAACAGGTTTTTATGAAGGCTATGATACAACAAATACAAGTTGGTGCAGAATAACATTTAGGTTGAGCATTAACATGATTGGTTAATGGCCATAAACAGAACCTAAGACAGTTTCTAAAGAGAGCAAATCAAAGAAAGGACGACGTATCTTATCATGGCGTAAAAAGTTGTCCCGGCAAGACTAGAGCCTTTGTCAACATCTCCGAGTATCATCCAAGAAAAAGAGGAAGTAAATGGAAGGTCGAGTTTAGCTTTGCAATACATATATATATATATTTTTTATCCATGCCACATCAAACCTGCGAAAGGTATAAAGCCAGCAGAGCTCAACCTCGTTCCCAGGGTTCTCTCCTACCAGGTAGGAGAAAATCCTGGGAACGAGGTTGAGCAGAGCTCAGAAATTTATAGAAGGAGAAGTGAACTATGATTCTCTTTTTTCACTGCCTTACCTTTATCTTCCTGTCCCTGGAATCGCATGTATCAAACCTTCTGTTAAATTTCAACACAGTTGTTTGGGCAATCTCCTGGAAGCCAGTTAAGACGTAGTTTTGTTCGCTATCCTTTGGTGGTAACGATTTTGCGTCAGCATATCGATCCTAAACACAATGCTAAAGATAAGTTACTTTTCTAAATCAATGATTGACCGAAATTTGGTGAAAATTGTGTTTGCACAATAGTTTACAGCTGTAGTTTAGACCAAAGTTCTCTTAATGACGAAAAAAGGCGTTACAAAGCTATTCTGACATCCACTCTGCCTAATTGTTAGAATCATTGGGTAATATTGTTGCGGTTTTCAGATGACGTCACTAAAATTCAAACTTCAAAACTGTCGATCCTACTGAGATTTTACTTTCATGGTGTATTAGAGCAGCTGAAAACTAATTTTCAAACAAATTTTCGCTTCAAAAGGTTTCTTGGTTTTGTAATAGAGTACTGTACAGTACCGCAAATGATCCCCAACCGCAAATGATCCCGAGACCGCAAATGATCCCCAAAATGGACCGCAAATGATCCTCGACCGCAAGTGATCCCCAAAGTCGACCGCAAATGATCCCGAAAGAAAAGTAGGAATGACTTGGACTGAAGTTAGCGGATCATCGTGTCGATTTTATTATTATTACAATAAGTCAGATTAAAAGCTAAATTTTACTTCTAAAATAGATATATGAATAAAGACTAAATGAAAAAATCATTCAAGTGTAAAAACGAAGTCGGTGGGCAACACACGACTTTTGCCTCATGCTAATTAATTAATTTCACGCTTTCAAAAAGATCAGTAAAATCAATAAAGCTCTTGTCATGTAGAAGGTTTGTATTCCTTAGTAGAAAAGTTGAGCTTCTAGGCGTAACGTCCTACCTGTCTTAAATTTTTCAGAAGACGAAACATTCTTGAAAGAAAATTGAGGCAATCGACAAAGGAAGAAGTATACGGTTAATACCATACCTTTTCAGTTTTATTCCATTTTTTTTTTTCGCCTTGTATAAATTGACCTGAGATATAGCGTCCTCCTTCCCTTTTTCTTTAAAAGGCGAGAGAAAAAGGTTCTTTTTTTATAATCAGTCCTTTTTTGTAATCAGTCCCCCATTCCAAAGTTTTCACGGGATCATTCCATTCCGGTCGAGGATCATTTGCGGTCCATTTTTTTCATTTGCGGTCTCGGGATCATTTGCGGTTGGGGTCGACTTTACGGGATGACTTTTTCGGAAATTTTCTATCTAAACAATTCAAGTATTAGAAAAAAGTGTTCTTTAATGTTTTTGAGTTACTCTAGGGTCCATTTTAGTAAAAAACTCGGGATGTTTTGTTGGGTCTCATGTTGGGATCGGATGAGCTCCAGCATGGCGTCTCCATACAAAGCTCTTAATTTGGGTAAAACAGTTCCTCGGATATCTCATACACGAATTATTCCTTCCACCCAAATCTTGGCGAGGGTCTTGGTATATTTATCTCCTTTCATTTTTCAGGTTCTGGACTTTATCTGTTGAATGGTTTTGATTTTTATTTTGATCTATTTTGAATGGCGTGACACTGAAAACCAGCAATAAGTGAACTATTTACAAGGTCATCATCAAGGTAAGAAAATACCGTCCGTAAATTGCATATTTCATATCCTTAGGTAACTCCCGATGGGAAAAGTTTCGTAACATAGGAGTTAATATCGTCTGTTCAAGCTAGGCCTCAATTGTTGAATCATATAAACCTTTAAAAATGTGTAGGTCCAATCATAGGCAGGATTCTCAGGAAGCTCTGAAGGGGTGAGGGACGTCTCTGACGCCCATTTGCCGGTCCGTCTTTATTTAGGTACCTTATTTAGGAGAGTATTGCCCCAACCCACACACCCACGATAATATATCACGTAGTGTGACAACTTTTTTCACCCAAGCTATGTAAGTGTTCTCATGACAAGAAATTTTGCTTCCAAAGCTGCTATTGCATACTTCTAGGCTAACCTAACACTTTGAAAGTGTGTAGCCTACTATTTATCCATATTTATATATCTCACACAAACGGACCCCTTCGGCTTTCAAGTGTTAAGTGACTGCAGGGGAACCTGCACAAGGCAAAGTTTAAATTAGGTACTTTATGGGAGATTTTTTATAACAGCAACTGCGGGTACGAGAATTTTAATCAAAAGTGACACTGGCTTTTTGGTAATTAGGGGACGCATGGCCTTAAAAGCTCTTCATAACGAAGTAGGAATGTGAAAGTTTACTGTCCTTGAGCTTTAATGTGCTTCAAGTACTTCAAAATCAACATCTCCATATTTTTAACCTACCGTGAGATATCCTTTGGAATCCTTCACCCAACCGATAACAACATCACTACCGACCATCATGCCGTTACCTGAAGAGAAACCGAACCCGACCCATCCAGTAGTCGCCGCCTCAACAGCGAACGATATGGTCTCCTTGTCCCAGTCAACTGTCCAATACAGTTTCATTAGTTCCGCAGGATCCAACACCGCGTGATGGGCATATTCAGATGAGAGGTCAGCGATGCTTATGGAAAGTAAGGCCGAAAAGGCAACTAGCAGCGCAGGGGACATTCTTTCAGGTGCTCTATCTCGTAATTGAAATGTTCAAATTACTGTCATGCATGTGAAGTTGACGCATGTATGAAAACAAAACCACGCATAGTGATCAACGTCACGCGATGTTTCACTCAGTGACTGAGCACCTTTTAGCTTAAAAGTGGTCATTCAATTTAGAATAGAAACTCCCTCAAGCTTTTATATTACACTCCGTTTCAGTCTTTCAATTTAGTGAAGAACAAGACCCTTGGCAGAGGGAAAAACTGGCATGCCGAAATCAAGATGTAAAAATGCAGATTAGTTAATGCCAAACAAAGAAATGGACAAATGGCATCTGGGGTACATTTCTGCAAGACTAGTCAATTTTTATCATTTACATCAATGACAACTGGATTCATTAGTTAATTTTGCAAACTTTATTATCGTTACAGCGTGGTAGCATTTTTTTTTTCTACTTACTTCAGTAAAAGAAATATAAAGTTACAATGAAGTTATATAATGTTCACCAAGAAACTTACGACGTACAGTAACACATTTTTATAACATCTAATAATAGTCCTGGCGACCTATGACGTCAACCAAAATGGCTGCTGTATTTCCCTCCGTTTTGTATTTTAGTGAAAACACAGCTAAATATTTTAACTTGGCTTGGCTTGGCTTGGCTTGGCTTCCTTTTTTACAAAGAGTAAATGATAATGGCTTATATCATCTTTAATTTTAATTTATCTACAATGGAGTATCCCAGATATCATTGCGATACCACAGTTTCTCTACCAGGTCTTTTGCTTGACATGCGTTTGGTCTCACTTCAGGATTTTGTTCAAGGCACAAAAGCATCAACTCTTGAAGCTAAAAAAAGAAATGTATAAGTAAATATAAAAAAATGTAAGAAAAAAATCTTACTATTAACACCTATATTTACATTATGGCCAACTAAATTAAATGCTAGTTTGCTTGCTCTTCTTAAATAGCATTCTTAGTTTGTTAGCCTGTGATATGATGTAGAAATTTTAAAGGCTACTGAATTATGCGTAAACGTGATGTACAGTAAAGATTGGAAACCATGGTGCAGACAAAAAAACATAACCATGTTGTTGCTACTAATAGCAGCACTCTTACAGTCATCACTTATAAGAAACCGTTAAGAATTAATCTGATCCTGCTGTACTGCTACAGCAAGCTACAACTTACTGCTACGAGAGAACACCACCACTACTGCTAAAGCTGGTACTGCGACTAGTTACCACTCTTACAACTGCTGTTTCTTCTGCAAAACTATATATTAAAGCATAAGGTTCTTCAGGAATCAGTCCAATGGACTTTAATTAAGGTTCCCCTTCTTAGCTGTTTTGATTCTACACTGATGTATAGCCTCCCAGACAAGGTTCTGTAAACCTCAATGCACGTGCAAACCATATCATAAGCAAGGGTCACGTGAGGTAGAGGTATCTTTTAAAATTTCAATAATCTATCTACATATATATATATATATATATATTCATTATATTACTATATTATATATATATATATATATATATATATATATATATATAATATAGTAATATAATGAATTGAAGATTTCATCAGCTATTAAAGTGCTCAATAGGTAAACTAGAGCGATGTGTAGATATGTAGATGTAGCGATGTGGCGAAAGGTAAAACAGGCCCAATCATATTCTAGTATAAGCAAGAGATGTAACTTGTGTTTATGGGAAAAATATTTTATTATCTGTAAACCCGAAATGTCAACCCTGAACAACAGAAGCGAACTGTTATCTAATTGTAGACATTCTAAGAAATTCCTCTTGAAGAACGTATTCGCTTAGCAACCAATCATATTTCTGCATGTCACGCCACTACGCATTGTTCTGTATTTTCAAATTTTGTACATCTTCATATGTATCCGTTATTTTTGGCAGTTGCCTGATGATTGCTCCGCAAGGAGCATGAAACTCTGAGTAGCAATAAATGTTTTCGACCAAATAATCCATTTAATTTTTATCTCAGTTAATTTTTATGTTTCTATTGTTTTTGGGTATGGTAAGGTATGCTAATAAATTTAAAACAAAGGAAAAATAAAAATCAATGAAATAAAAATTAACTGCAAAACAACAACAAACAACAACATAACAGTAATACCTCCTCAAATTCATTAGAGTCGCAGCAATTCCTCATCATTTCACTCAGAACGAAACCAAACTGAAGTATATTCTTTCCTAAAATGTCCTCCACTGAGCGACCATCTAAAATACACTCAGGAAAATCCTGACAGACACGCTGAGCGAAGCCAAAACTTCCCAAAACAGCAGTTATTGGAGGCACCTGGAAGAAAGCAAGGGGATCAATAATAGCGCTCTAAGCAAAATTGAAAGATATCAAGTAATCATGAGGTTTCCTTTAACACAATTTTGATGAGGATTTCTCTGTTCCCTGGTCCTGTGGAAGTTTAGTCAAATGCCTCACTGACGTACACCACAGCCGGTATACGTTATTCTTTCAGAATGTTTTGTCTGTCATGAAAGAAATTTTATAAAATCAACAGAAAGATGCGAAAATCTATACGGCTAATAAACAATAACCTCAAACTTCAGGAGCTGCTTGCTTTATAAGGCATCCTAAATAATGCTTTTTAACTCACCCTAAATCCTTTGCCTATCAATACACTGGACATTGTTATGTTGTTATGGACGACGCCTTTCTGTTCCAAGTGTTGTATGGCAGAGATCAAGTCCATAGCCACAGCGATAAGCGAGTCCACATTGAAAATAATCCCGTCACTTATCAAATACTCCTCCAAAGTTGTGTTTGCAGAAAAGTCGAAACACAATAAACTATTAATGGGAAAAAAAAAGAGAAAAAAGATGAAAAGAAAGAACAAGGGGGTATAAAAACCTCTTAATTATATATATTTTTGGAAAATTAAAAAACATCATTTATAATAGACTTTCAAAAAAGTCCTTCGTCGGATTCACTTGTTATTAACACCTGTCAAGCTAAAAGAAGAGAAAGTTTTTAATTACAATGAACTTTTCCTGAATCTTGGGAATCCCTCTGCTTTCTTGTAGTTCACAACACTTTTTTCCGCTGCAAAAAGTAAAAGAAACTCTCAAATGGCAAATACTATTCTTACTGACGATCAGTCGATGAGATTACAGTTACAAGTTATAAGTACAATTAAAAACAGAGCAGCCTTAACACTTTGGTCCAAGAATGTGTAGGACTGAGCACCCCATAATTTGATACGCCGAACCAAAGGTCGAATATTTTGGAAAATTGCTAAGGCAGGCATTAAGCTCGGAATTCAAGCTGTATGCTAACTAAATGCTTTCGATAATGCATTTTCTCACGTCGCCATTTATTCAACATATTGCAATAAGGCAAAGTATTTGTTATCTGCCAGGGGGGCATACTTTCAGAGTGGCAGCAGTATTTGATTATATTGGGATGCTCCAGTCCCTGCCTAAGCTCCTTTGCCAATTCCACTTCCTTTTTCCAGTCCTCTTCTTTTATCTTTGAGAAGTGCTTTATCAGTCGAACGCATGAGTTCTCTTCACTTCCGCAACATGCCACAACAAATCCCTTAAAAACCAAATGAAAAAACCAAGATTAGATTTTCATGAATTGTGTAGGACAACGTCGTTTCTCGTTCCTACTGTAAAGGACCTTATAAATATAAATGGCAACGGTGAGGCATTCTCCGTTGCCACAGATAATAATCTTTTTTAAACTGTGTCACAATTTCTAAAAATTAACTTGTTTCAGACTTTACTAGTTTTGAGCCAAGATAAGGACTTCAATAAAACTAGCCTGTGTAGGTGGCGGCTATTTTGTTTTGTTTTGTTTTGTTTCTAGGGGGTGTGTTCGTTTGTGTTTCGTAAAGTAAGGGATACAGCTGCGCGAAAGTTGAACCGAAGTCAAACTAGAAAAGGATGGGGCAGGGGGCGAGGGAAAGAAAACAGATACTCTCTTCAGTCTTTCTCTCGCACCCTCCTCCATAGTTTTCTCGTATGACCTCGGTTCGGCTTTTGGCAGCTCGTTTGACCTCACCAAACACCAAAAAACCGCCTGCTACGCAGGCTCCAATAAAACGTAGGTTTTTTTATGCGTCAGTCAAGGTATATTTGTTACAAAAAGTATCGGACATGACAGAAAGTGAAGAGAGAATTTCAAGACATTTAACTCAACTCAGCCCTGATGATAATCACATTTCTTTAAAAAAAACTAGTAATTAGTCGAGCTTGCTTAAACGTGAGACTCTAAAAATGGAAGTGTTTTTTTCTTCTTCCTTTTTTCTTTCGTGCGTGCTCGCCAGAAGGGTTCATGGTCCCTGGCGTTCCTAACGGAGACCGTGGAAACTGGGGATAAGAATCGTGACGTGACCGACGACATATTCAAGGCACCAAGCAAGTTTTGTGAAGAAAGCTTAGGGAAGATTAGTGCAAAAGATGTCGAGCTTTTTCGGAACGGGTCGGTCCACGAATCTATCGCTTGAAAGAGTTGATTACTTTTGAATAAATGAATACTTCAGTGGTCGAAAAAACGAAAAATCTTTATTAAATGAAAATAGGTCTCGTGATGATCATGCATGCGGTTTATTTTCGGCGATGATTGAAATGACGCGCCATGTTCATCACTTTTTTGCTCTTTAGCAATGATGTAATTTCTCTCGAAGCCCTTCAATTTTCGTGTATTTATACACGTGTACTCAATCAATCCAGAAACAAATCGTCGAATAAGGTATAAGAAGTAAATATCCTGAAGAATACGACATTTATGTGTATTTCTCCACAAATGCACAAGATTTCTGTGCAAGAAAGGGGAATAAAATATCCCTATCCTACTACTGAAAATATCAATATCTGGTTCAGAAGTGCTGATATGCGGTCGAAACGCTTTTGCAATCTTTACCAAGGGTCACCCCTTCGCCCCCATTGGCACTCATACATATGATTTTCTCTCGGCGTATCATCAAACGTTACTACTACAAAAATTGTGTCACAACACCTACCACTGACAGAGAGGTTTCATCTGCAAATATGCCTGGTATTTCAACGAGTTTCAGCTCTGACTCGGGTCTCTCACTTTCTAGAATCTTGTCTGGTTGACAGTTGGATTTGTTTGGATTCGAGGTCGGCAACGGCTTCAACGGGACTCCCTTGCCTTTTGCTATTATAACGTACAAGAAAAAAAATGTTGACCAAAAGTTCTTTTGCTAATGTATCGTACGTTCAATTTGTTTAAAGAGAAGGTAAAAACTATCGGGTTTTTTGGTGGTTTATTTTGTAGACTATACTAATTCTAATAACTCCTTGCGCATGCAGCCATTAGAACTGAATAGACACTGATTATAGAGACGAAAGGGATGACTTCATTACGTAACAAACAAGTTATCAAACGGTAGAGTAGTTTTCACTTTATTCAAACCTACAATGGCGGCCAAGTTAGAAAATAAAATTAGAAAGAAACCAGAATATCCTGTTTGGACGTCAGCTTGGTTATTAAATGGTTTCATGACATTTCCTTCTGGCTTACAGTGTATGTGTTAAGGGATGTGACGTCGTATACCATCAGTTTATTATGAGGAACTGAAAACTTGCCCCATCTTCGCTCAATGACTTATTTTTTTCAGCCATGGCTATATAGTACGCATTAACATAACGTACCTTTATCTCTCTAACAGGTTTTCCCGCTGAAAACTCAGTGAGGGGGTTTATAAGGGAGATTACGACAAAAAACGGTAATACGGAGCTTATTAAGGAAAGGCGTATTTGAAGGATGCACGCAAAAGGAAGTGAGGTCTTTTCCATTTTAACGGCCTTGACGCTAGCATCTAACCTATTTGTATTGCTCGATGTCTGTTGTCTTATAGAGACGATTTGCCCGAGGATTTGGGCAAAACCACTCTACTTCCCAAGTATACAATAAAATCCACTCCCGGTTGACGTGCGTATCTAAAAAACACCTTTGCTTGAGCTCCCTTATAACACACCTGGGGTTATTGTTGGACGCCGCACTGTTGGTTCCAAGAAGGAGATAAGTGAATCAATGTGTTCACCTATTTTTTTTTTGACGAGTGGAGTAGAAAATGTATACAATATTGGATTGAGAGCAGAGTTCAATGGGAGAACAAACACCGCAATCCAAACGTAGGCTTGTTTCTCAGGATCATGAAACTTTCCGAGCAAGGATAGAAGGCCAATGAAGATAATAGGCATCCAACACAAGAAATCAGTTAAGACAATAAGCATCATTCTCTTAGCCATTTTCGATTCTCTCTTCATGTTTGTTGACCTGACCTGTTTTGCAGACCCCTTTACCCTTAGGTACATTGCTGTATACGCAGTGAGAATATACATAAAGGAGACAAAGTTTAGAACGATGAAAATGCTAACCGCATATTCCCAGCCAGCTTGTCTCTCTGTTGACAGTTGAAGAGGAAGGCAAACAGCTGATTTTCCATAAAATCCAACATCGCGCTTTTTGTCAAAGAAGTAATCAAACCCTAAGGTTGGAATGACTGATATCATTGTTCCAAAAACCCATATACCTCCCACAATAATGAAAGAACGCTTGCGATTTATCCGTCGCATTTTAAACGGGAAAACAATACAAATAAGTCTATCTGTTGTGATAAGAGTCAGCAGCAACACAGATATCTCACTTGATGCCATCGAAAGGACCCCCGTAAATGCGCATGTCAGTCCCGATCTCCAATTGACATCATGTTTAAAGTATTCACCTTGCCATTGCACATCTTTGAAGGCAATGATAAGCAAATAGACACCCATTAGTAGATCTGAAATAGCCAGATTTGTCAGAAGAAATGAATGCACTTTGTTGTCTTCTTTCACAAAAACTCTCAATAAAATAACGAGAAGATTTCCAACAAGAGCAGTAAGCCCCAAAATCCAAACACAAGTCTGAACACCTTTGTTTTTCATCAAGTCAGAACAGCTAGAAAATTCGTCTTTGGGTGAGATGCATCGAACCCCAGGCACTACATTTTCGGCATAACAACAAAGAATATACTCGTCCAAATAACTGAAACGAAAACAAATATTAAAATATCAAATTTCTTACTGCAATGGAGTATTAAAGATATATTTATCTCTGACTCGGCTAATATTTACTGTAAGTACATTACCCTCTTCTGTTTAGTTTTTTTTTTACAAAGCGCTGCAAAGAATAACCTTAGGAGAAAATTGGTTACAAAAGTGATTTCCAGGGTACACAGTTTTTCAAACAGGCTTTAGCAGAAAAGATTGTGTAGTTCCAGAAAATATCGATACCCGCCATGGAGGGCACTTTTGCATTAGACCTCTTAGCCCCCTGGAACCGCCCTGGAATTTCCTTTCCAGGGGATGTTTGTGAGACCTTTGTCATTCCAACTTGGTTAGGCACCCAATGGAAAGAATATTTCTGTCAAAAATTCTGTCGAGCTATACAATTCTGCGAAAGACGATAATATTGCTCCTGCGATAAAGAGATAAAATATCTTTACATTCATTTTCACACAGCGTCTAATAATCTCAATTTTGCCTTGTAAAGGTCTTTCTTAGTTAATAATTAACGGCAAGGCACTGAGAAACATGGAGACGATGCATTACACATCACAAATGATGCCATTTGTAAAGGAACCAGTTAAATTCAAACTAAACACCGAGTCCCCGGGTGGACTTTCTTTACTTTTCTTTCCTAGAAAACAACAACATTACAGGCGAATACCACAATATTGTGTAATACAGCAACAGCCAAGTAACCGGAAATTTAATCAGTGCTAATCATGAGTCGATTACAACTACCTATCGCGTAAGCTGTGAAAAAGCATTCAGCCGACCGTAAATAAAAGATCATCGTCGATGTAAACAATAGTTATTGTTTTAAAAAACTGTTTACAGTCAAATAACTGATAGCTTGCTCAACAGAGCAGCTGTTAGTTTTTAACAAATCATCGATCTTACACGGAGACCCCGGAAAGAACTCTCGAGAAGCCACCCCCCGGCGCCCCCACCCCCCTCAGAAATGGCCTCCTTTTGGATCCCCCGCCCCTAGGAATTTCCGTTGTGTGTGTGGGTGTGGGTGTGGGTGTGTGAGGGGAGGGGGGGTATGGATATTTTCTGGAATTACACATTCGCTAGTAATAGCACCTAATCTCGAACCCACATCAAAAGTGGCCGTGGGAAATCTGGGTACTAGATAGTATAGCGACACTCATTATAATTTCCACGGTAAAGAGACCCTAGTTGTAAGCAAAACTCACATTTCTTTAAGGTTCTCAAGTCCACTGAAAGCGTCTGCTGGGACGTTTTTCATATCAAGGGAATTATTCCTGAGATCCCTAAAAACCGATAAAGAAACGTTTGGTAACTTGTCAACCTCTAACATAACATCAGCTTATACTTTTGATATAATAGTAGCAGTGTTTTAAAATATCCCAATAACGGAATTGCTCCTGGAATTGCCTTATCTTTGAAACGGATTTTGTTTTTTTGAAGTCTTTAGATGTGCAAGAAACTTAAAGATTTTATGATAACTCCAACCTGTTATTCGTCACGTTTTTGTGCAAGGTCCACTTACAGTTTCTCCAGGGATGACAGCCCAGCAAATGTCTTTGAAGATAACCGCATGATCTGGTTAACATTCAGGTTTCTGAAATCAAAAAAATGTCACCATTTCTGCTTTACTCGCCGAAGGAGGATGAAATTCTTACCATGAGAAAGTGCAACCGCAAAACAGATTTACCGATTTCGCATCTTTTTTCATGTTTTTTTTTTCGGCCTAGTTGTAAGAAGGGGAATCCAAGACAAAAGATGTTTGAATTCATTAAGTAATTTCATAACATAGTTAGAATATTTGCCTAATCAAAGTCAAAAGTGCGTGGGTGCCCATTCCCATTGAGAGCGCTGATGACGTCAATAAACTATACAGCGTACCTCGAGTTCTTGTGAGCTTACCAATCCTCCCAAGGCGTCTCCCAAGAGCATCCAGAACTCAACAGTACACGATGTAGCGTTAACCATGTGTTTTATAACTTAAATTTAAGGGAAAGCTTTTGAAAATGTTAAACGATAGTAGGAAAAAGAGGCGACTGTTGTTGTTGTTGTCGTCGTCTGCGCGAGCTGTGCAGGCTATGTCGGGTGCAAGTCATTTTTTGCAAAGTTGTTTCTCTCAAAAATAATTTTTAGGTGAATTAATATTTTTCCGGCTCCTCAGTATGGATTATATAACCTTTTAGAATTTTACGTTAAAAGACTTTCTCTCAGCTTCAAGGCCGAGCCTCGAGCAACTCTTACGCGTCTTTAGCGCTCTCCAAACTTCCAGCGTGCATACGACATACGCACGCTGACGCGTGAACTAACTGTTAATTCTTCAGATTAACTTACAATATCTTTAGACTGGATAAACCAAGAAATAAGCCGTCAGGAATCTCTTTCACCGCATTTTCCTGAAGGTATCTACATTGGGTTTTAAATCAAAGCAAAATTAATTAGGAAAAATACTGTTTTAGCGCAGCCTGGTTAGCTCAGTTGGGAGAGCGCCGGTCTGCCTAGCGGGAAGTCGCGGGTTCAAACCCCGGCCGGACCAACACTCAGGATCTTTAAATAACTGAAAAGAAAGTGCTGCCTTTGTAATGACATCTGCAAGTGGTTAGACTTTCTAGCCTTCTCGGACAAGGATGAAAAACCGTAGGTCCCGTCTCACAGCACTGATTTGTTCTTGTGGCGCGTAAAAGTACCCACATCACTATTCGAAAAGAGTAGGGGTTGTAGACCCTGGTGGTGTGGCCAACCTTTACGGGTTGTGGGATTGGGTAGGGATGGCACCTCGCATGAGTCCCGTTCGTGCCCATTCCCTCTGGGCAGGCCTGTGTCCAGAAAAGCTGGTAAATAAATAAAATTGGCAAAACAAATGCAATACGTATGTATTGTTTCACTCCAGTCACTCACAGGTATTGTAAGTTATTCATCAATTTAAATGCGTCCTTTTCAATGCTTTTTATGCGATTTTGCCTAAGGCTCCTAAGAAAAAAAATATATCATACATCAATCAGATAAAATGTCGGCCTTAAACCGAGTTTGGCCAGTCTGGTTGTTAGTTAGTTTTTTTTTTTAATGCTACGTTCGATTACTTACAAAGTAGTCAACGATGCTAACGATGCACTGAATGTGTTCGCCGAAATGGTGTCAATTAAATTAGCGCTGCAGTCCCTTAGAAGAAATAGAAAAAAAGATAGTTTAACGTAAATCCTCTATTAAGCCCCCCGGGGGTTTCTTTATTTCTCATTTGAGAGGAGGCTTATTTGAGAAGGGGGCGGGGGCTTACTTAATTTAGAAAAGACGATGGTATCAGTTCTCCATAAAGAAAGGGAGAATATACAAAGTGGGAAAGCTCAAGTACAAGAAGGTTGGAGGTCAGGCAGTCGAGGATCAGAATGAAACCCGAACTTCCAGGTGGTAATTAAACCATCCGGGATCAGTCCACACGAAGGTGTTCAGTCGTGATTGATTAATACAGTCTATCATTTATTAGTAAAAAATAATTAGGGGAGGGGAGGGGAGGGAGGGCGTAACAGAGAGCGGGGGGGCTTATTAACTTTCCTCTCCTGAAAAGGGGGGGACTTATTAGAGGGAGAGGGATTATTTGAGAGGGGGGGGGAGCTTAATAGAGGATTTACGGTATATAAAGCATTTGGTGTTGCTGTTGGTATATTACTTTAATGACCAAAAAAATGAAAATAATAATAATAAACTCACAAAGTCTGAAGATTGTTCATATTGTCCAACATGCCGTTAGGTAAGGCCCGTATGAAATTCGAGTCAAGTTTCCTGAAATGTAAACAACCCTTTGAGATAAGCCAAGAATGGGTGCTATAAATTTAAGAGAAACTCCCTTAAAGAAAACGTTTAAAGACTATTCCTAATTTTTAAAGGTTTATAGATTTGTAAAAGTTGTTGTGGCTACAGGTCAACTGGGGTTTAGTGGAAGCCCAGTTTATGCTTTGGGCCTGGTTGTTTAAACGTTGGATGGATATGCTCTTTTTTTATATAAGAATGTTGTTTTTTCGTCCCAGGCAGAATATTCTTATTTTTCTGTCGAAAATATGCTTAAATTATTCTTAATTATAAATTATAGCTTATAACATTTCCACTTTACATTTGTAGAGGTTTCAATTGCCATAGTGTTCTGTGTCTAGATCTGTCTCCAGCGCCGTTTAGGGAAAGAAATAATATTATACGGCTAAGTCAAAACAAATAATTGCACTGTATTTACCGATTTTCAACATACAAAACTGAGACGTCCTTTTCAATTTCTCAGCCTCGGGTTTATTCTTAAAATATTCTTAAAATTTCACAAATTTCAGCCTCAATTTTCTTATAAAATATAGTTTTACTCTTATGGAAAAAAATAGTGTAGCACTATCAACCGGATGAACCACTATCCAGCGCCGGGGTAATTATCAGTATTAGGGAATTGGGGAGATTTATCCGGTGGATAAGCGTAATTCACCGTTTGAACAGCTGGGGCATGAACTTAATGTAAACATTTTAGTGACATTTCAGTTTTTTAGAGATAAATTCTTTTTTTTTTAGTTTCACACTTACAAAGTTTGTAGCACCGATGCATTGCCGAATGCACCTCCTTCAATTCTGAAGATGCGGTTTCCACTCAGATCCCTGTAGAGATTTTACGAGATATTTTTATAATATACTATTGAAAAAATAAACGAACTGTTTACTCATTAAAAATACGTGTGAATCAGAAACTTACAAATACTTCAGACTTGACATATCAGAAAGTTGTTTCTTGGATAGATAGGATATTTTATTCCTCTGAAATAGTCTGTCGGATCAAAAGCAGTAAAATATAATTTTTCAAGGTTAGTTCTCAGTCAAAATCAGCTATTTATTTTGCGGTGCAATTTACTCGTTGGTTTAATTCTAATTTTTCTTTCTTAATTTTTGTGGATTACCCTTAATGAAAGCGAGAAAATCGATTTAAAGGAAACAATTAGCACACCTTAAATAAGAAGAGATGACAAACCGATGTTTTGACCAGTAGGCAGACGCGTGAGAAATTACAGTGTTTGTATGAAAATCTAATGTCGAATAATTTCCGTAGAACAGCTGTTCTGAAAAAAAATATGATTTGCAAACTAAAGCTTCACTCCTAAGGATTCTCCTGAGAAAATTTGAGGGCGTTACATACACTAGAAGACCTAGAGCCACTTTTTAAAATGTCTATACATTTGTCTGTAAGAAAGTCCCGGGAAAATTACAGACAAATATATGAAAAATCTAAAGCAAGCCTCTGGAGAAATTTAAGCACAGGTAGGCCCCCAAATTTTTTAGGACAATCCTTTGCTTTGTAGCTTTAGTTTACAACTGATATTTTTTTCAGAACAGCCGTTTTACGGAAAGTATTCGACATTACATTCTCATACAAACACTGTAATTTCTCACAAGTTTGCCTACTCGTCAAGATGGCGTCGAAAACCGTGACAAGGTCGATTAATATTTACATGGAAAAGATCCTTTTGGATGCGACTGAAAAGCAACACCTTCTTAAACTATATAACTAGGTACGATGCGATGAATAAATCAACAAATCCATGGCCAGAAGTGCTGTGCAAATACGAGGTACTTAACTTCAAGGTGTTGAAAATCGAGAGAAACACTACATCGGACAGCATCGAGTGTTTGATATTTCATCTTGAACCTTTGAAACGTATTGCAGAAATTCGCAGCCAAATTTTGCAAAACTTAATGGTAATGTAACGTTGCTAAGAGACTTGTCTAGCCTCGCCCCAGGACTTCGGGGCGGTAATCACGTGCGGTTCGTTGAGAGAGTGTAGACGGCCATTTTGGCTGTGCAGCTGTTGTAGTTGTTTCGAGACGTTATTAAAGAAGAGTTTAATCACTGTGACACTGGTGGCAGCGGTGGGATCAGAAGAAATGGCCTCGAGGGAAATTCTGGAGGATGTAATCGAGCGGCTTACCGTGCAGTTGAAACTGACGAAAGCTACTTTGAAATCTACTAGCGAAGAATTTCAGCAAACACAAAAGAACCTTGAAACCCTGGATAAGGAACACAAACGAGTCATTCACGAAATCGGCGAGCTGAAAAAACCAGAGTCCGAGCTAATCAAAGAGAGGGACGAAGCGAAGGAATCGGCGAGGAAAGCGTTGGAGAGTCTATCGGAGTTTGAAAACAAACGGTACGTGAAACCGTCAGCGGTGGCGACAAGAGTGAAGCCTGAAAAATTCTCGGGAAGCGGCAACGACACAGATTTTCAGGCGTTCTTGGACCAGTTTGAGGCTTGTGCGAGAATGAACGGCTGGAAAGAAGAGGAAAAAGCAAAACAACTGATCCTGTGCTTGAAAGAAAAAACTCGTGTGGTTATGTCTCAACTCTCGGCGAGTGATTAGAGCTCTTACACATGTATGGTGGAGGCTCTTCGCAAGAAAATCGGCATGCGTCAGGTTCCCGAAGCCGCTAAAGCTACGCTCAAAGCGCGACGAAGAAAGGTGGGAGAAAGTTTGTTAGATTTAAGTATTGATATTAAACGCTTGTGCGGGGAGGCTTACCCGACTTTGAGCTCGGCTAGTTTGGGGCAAGCTTGTGTAGATCATTTCACTGATGCAATTGGGGCGACACTTGCAAAGGACGTAATTCCTGTCAGAAGCTCTAGAGCTCGAAGCATTAGAACTCAGAGCAATGAGAATGAGAGAAAGGGTTGTGAGTGAAGTGTCAACCCACGAGAAAGAAGCTTGCCAAGTGCAAAATCCACCTCTACCAGGTTGGGCCCCAGAGCTTTCGACTATGATTGCGTCAGCTATCGCAAAGGCAGCAGCCGAAGCAGTGGTTAATGCCATCCCTTAAAGCGGCACTCGAGGAAACTAGGTTCCCCCTCAGTTTCGACTCGCTAATAGCAGGGGCAGGGGGTGTTGGACATGTGGGTCAGTGTATCATTTCCAGAGAGACTGCCCGCAGGGAAACTTCCGCAGGGAGAGGGACAGGTCGTAAAACCAAGTCGCTCCCCGCCCGAAGACCAAGTACCAGTGATACGCATTAGTTCCATTCAGTCTAACGTGTTGTTACTTGACTGCAAGATAAAAGGGGTCCCTGTGACTGCCGTAGTGGACTGTGGTAGCCCAATCTGTATTTTGAGTGACAAAGTTTTTAAGTGCATTGCTTTTAACGGGGCCCTAGGGAAGGTTGGATCCAAAGTCGTGGGCGCCGAGGGCTCCCAGCTGAACATCTTGGGAACAGTGGAACTGGACATGGCCTTCAAAGGGATCAGAGCTAAACAGCTATTCTATATTTGTGACAACCTCAAGCAGAGTGCCCTTCGTTTTGGGGCCTGCGTGGCAATTTGAAAAAAAGGAATGGGACAAGGGACAATGGGTGTGTTGTCGACTTTAACAAGGGAACCCTTCGCGCTGGAAACACAGAGGTGTACTTGAGAAATGAATCAAGTTGGCAGGTGCCCAGAGTCTCCCTGGTAGAAACTGTTACCATTCAGCCAGACCAAAAAGTTGATCTCATTTGCCAGGTCAATGGGGCAAATTTAGAGGGAATTCAGGGAGTCCGTGAACCCATCGATAAATTATTTGAGAGGTTTCCAATTGCAGTGCTGGTCTCAATCAGCCAGTCAATGGAAGGGTCAGTTCAGTCCTGCTTCTGTGGGCGGCCGGTTACAATCTGGGGACCTGGGGTGTGGGGGTTCCTGTCAGCCGTGGGGTGTGCATGGTCTCGACAGCGCGAAACTATAGGGTTGAGTCCGCCACCGATGATAGCGATGAAAGAACAGTGAATTGCAAATGCACCGTCGGTCGAATCGAGCCGAGTTGGATATAGTTGACGAGATGAGGCAGCTATTCATAGAGATAATGATCAGATAACGGACAATCAAAAGCTGAGCGTGGAAAATCATGGCCAAGCACTCTAACGCAGTATCCAGGGACCACACGATATTGCCACTGCACCAAAGCACAGCTTAGAATTAACACTGGGACTGCACCCCTTCAAGACTCCACTGCACCGCTTTTCACCTCACCAGGAGAAGTACATAAGAGAGGAGACACAAAGGTTACTTGAGAGAGATGTAATAGAACCGTCAACCAGTCCTTGAGCGCTCAGGTCATCTTAGCTTCTAAGAAGGATGGCTCTTACCGTTACTGTGTTGATTTCCGTAAGCTAAATAGTGTCACTGTTAAGGAACACTACCCTATTCCAAGGGTGGAGGACATGATCGATACTCTTGCTAGAGCAAACTTTTTCTCAACCCTGGACTTAGTCTCTGCCTACCATGCGTTCGAAATTCACACTGATGACAGGGAGAAAACAGCTTTCTCTACAAGGCAGGGGCACTGGCAATGGAAACGTGTTCCCTTTGGGCTTTGTAACGCAGCTCCTTTCTTTGTGCGGCAGATTGCCAGTCTCTTAGCGGGAATGACATGGGAAGAACTATTGGCATTCTTTGATGATGTCCTCATCTTTGGTGCCACCTTTGCCAAGCACTGTGAGTCCTTGGACCCTGCTCTCTCCCTTATAGAGGAGGCTGGATTGAAGGTGAAGCCAGAGAAATGCTGTCTGCTGCCACAACGCCTACCTTTTGTTGGACATATCCTGTCAGCGGAGGGAGTTTCCACAGATCCTGAAAAGGTTTCCGCAGTGAAATCCTGCCCACCACCAACCAATGTGTCTGAGTTACGTGTTTTTCTGGGAAAGATCGGCTACTACAGGAAGTTTATTCCGGATTTCGCAACTGTCGCAAGCCCTCTTTTCCTTCTTGAGGAAAAGGGAAGAATCTTTGTGTGGTCCAACGACTGTCAAAGATCTTTCGACGCCCTAAAGCAAGCCCTAAAGCAAGCCCTTCAGAAGATTAATCACACTTCAAAAACGGGTCGTAAGAATAATGTCGAGGAGTGCTTTCGATGCTCACACTGACCCCTTATTTAAAAATTTAAAAATTCTGAATCTTGAGAGTATCTACAAACTTCAAATAGGAAAATTTATGTATCAATACAGATCTGGCTTACTTCCTTATAGCTTCAATAACATGTTTCTGGTGCAGGTGCATTCTTATGGCACTAGAAGTTTGGAGCATTTTTATTTACCACAATGTAGGACTAATATAAGAAAGTTCTCCATCAGTTTCCAAGGTCCCAAATTTTTTAACTCTCTTAGTTTTGAAATTCGAAATGCAACAAGTACCGCTTCCTTTTGCTGTAAGCTGAAAGCATTCCTCTTATCATAAATAGTAATTTATATATATATATATATATATATATATATATATATATATGTATGTATTTTTTTTCTTCCTTTGCTCTTTTATTTTCTTTTGTTTTGTTTTGTTTTTTTTCTTTTTGTCATTTCGCTTTTTTTAGCCTAGAACTATGATTAGTACGACTATCTAATATACTTATTTTAAGATTTACTGTAGCTCTGCCATTGATTTTCCCGTGTGTAATTATGATAATATTTTGTTCTAATTATCTAACTGAGGGAGCCCATTCCTTATAAGCCCGGTGGCTTCTCTTGGGCTTCCTCGCCATGAGAGTTAAGGTAATTAGATTTTATTTGATTTGTTTAATTTTTGGCAAACAAAACAATAAACAATAAACTTTGTGAAGCACCGGTTCTTGCATACCCAAGGTTTGATCTCCCATTTATACTAGATACTGACGCTAGCACGACCGGTGTCGCTGCTGTGTTGTCTCAGGTGCAAGATGCCGAGGAGCGCCCAATTACGTACGCTGCCAAGGCCTTGACGAAATGGCAGAGAAAGTAGCCGCCAACCAAGATTGAGATGTATGCGCTAGTATTGGGGACAAAAACATTCTACCCGTATCTGGTCAACAAACAGTTTGTTGCTCGTCTGGATCACCACTCGTTAGTGTGGCTTCAGAACTTTAAGAATCCTAAACCTCAGGAAGCCCCGATGGATTCAGCACCTTCAACAGTACGACATGAAAATAGAGCTTCGGCCAGGTCATCTGCATGGCAATGCCGATGGCCTGTCCCGTCGACCTTGGCCAGAAAACCCCGCGTCTGACACACTTAGTGAAGCACAGAATTTTTGTGAACCATTGGTTGTTGGAGCGACTACCAGTGACGGTTCAACAGCTTTTGTCGAGGATGGAAACGAGTCGGAACCCAGACCGCCGCACCCACCGTGGTCCAGTGCTCACCTTAGGACAGAGCAGTCAAAGGATAAGCATTTGAATGCAGTGCTACAGTGGCTTAGGGCAGGAAGGAGACCACCTAAAGAATAAATGAGCGGGGCAGATAGGCATATGTGGGCTTTATGGGGTCAATACGATAGGTTGCTTTTGCAGAATGAGACGTTGTACCGGCGATGGTTTGATGAAAAGACTGGACATGAAAGTCTGCACGTGTGTGTCCCAGAGCAGTTAAAGGGTGCTGTGTTGCAGGAGTTACATGACCAGTGTGGACACTTGTCAGTGCGCAAGACTACAGACAATGTGCGGAAACGCTTTTACTGGATTGGCTACACTGCGGCTATTGAACTGTACTGTCGTACTTGTCACACTTGCGGCTCCAGAAATGGACCAATACCATGGGTGAGAGCGCCCATGCAATCTATTAAGACGAGCTACCCACTAGAGAGGATTCAGATTGACATTCTCGACCCCCTTCCAGAGACCAACAAAGGAAAAAAGTATGTTGCTGTTGTGGTGGACATGTATGCAAAGTGGCCCGAAGCGTACGCCTTACCTGATCAAGAGGCTAACACGGTCGCCCAGACTGTCATGGACAACTTTTGTATGCCGCTTCGGTTGCCCTCGTGGGATACTCAGCGACCAGGGCCGCAATTTTGAGTTTAGGACATTCCGTGGCTTATGCAACTTGATTGAGTCCATCAAACAAAGGACAACGCCATACCACCCTCAGTGTGATGGGGGTGCGGAACGACTTATCCGTACGGTTACCGGTGTTATTGCCAAGGTTGCAGAGGAGCAAGAGGACTGGGATCAGTATCTTCCCAAGGTCCACCTGGCTTTGCGTGCATCCACCCATGAGACGACCGGCTTCTCCCCCAGTATGCTCATGTTCGGCAGGGAACTGAGATTACCTATTGACGCAATGAGGGAGGGGCCTCCTTCAGAACAACCGCCTGATTACCCATCTTTCGTCAAGAGACAGCAAGAAATTCTAAAGGGAGTGTATGGACGAGTAGGGGAAAATCTGCGAGTCAACCTTCGTCACCAGAAAGATGTCTATGACGCGCGCTGCAAGTGAAACGCAAAGCCATACCAAGTGGGTGATCTGGTGTGGTTAGAGGAAAAGGCCGTTCCGAGGTGGGTACACCGGAAATTCTATCGCACCTGGTCCGGACCGTGGCGAGTAGTGAAGGTCATATCTGACGTCACCTACAGGAAACAGTGCGAGGAGGCCACACCCACACGGGGAAGACGGAAAACGAGAATGATTGTGCACTTTAACCGTCTTAAACCGTACCCACGGAGACCCCCGCGGCTTCAGCCGACATTGCATGACGTCGAGAGAGACGCTGGCCAACCTACGGATCTGAATGTTGGAGAGGGTGCTCTGTTGGAATTTCCGTGGGATGGCACCGCAGATACCCTGCCTGGGGGCCCCGCTCCGACTGAGAATGCCTCAGCTGTCAACCGTGAACCGGACCTCCAGCCGAGACGTTCAACCAGAGACCGCCGTGTCCCAGCCTGGCTGGGAGACTTTCTTTTAGGGGAGGACATTGATAACACCCTTTCTCCACTAGGGAGGGGGGGTGTGTAACGTTACTAAGAGACTTGTCTAGCCTCGCCCCAGGACTTCGGGGCGGTAATCACGTGCGGTTCGTTGAGAGAGTGTAGACGGCCATTTTGGCTGCGCAGTTGTTGTAGTTGTTTCGAGTCGTTATTAAAGAAGAGTTTCATTACTGTTACAGTAATTAGTATGTTATTCAAATCTCGCTCAGAATGGTAATTTTCTTTGTTTTCTCTTTACAAATTATTGACGAAATTAGCAAACGCAATCATCAAGGACTCAGCTTACATTACGGCTGCCTTAGAAGGAATGTTTCCTGGTAAAGCGGTCAGTTTCCTTCCCTTCTTCACTGTTATCACCATCTCAAGACTCTTCCGTGAAACTGGATTACACTCGCAACTTGACGGACAACCTTAAACAGTAAAAGGCATTTCATTAATTATATTATTCTTTGTAAAAACGTGATTTTTTTTAAAGAGGCCGTAATAACATTGAGCTAGCTGCCTGGCGGGGATCCTTATGTAGTTTGTTTCCAGTTTGTTTTTCAATCGCCGATGCCATTTGTGTTGCGATTATTCCGTAGCACAGTGGTCGATACGTTAGAGTAGAGCGAAATATAATTATACCTGGATTTTTGAAAACCGGGTTAGCAAAAATATCAACTCATTCTACTACTTGACAATTTAAAACAACAAAACTCATTCAAAGGCCGATTAAAAGCCTTTAGATGACGCCGGGCAGTACGTTAATGGTCCCTAGAAGCATTCCAACGAGTCCAAATTTAAAATGACGCAAATTTTAGAACATCTATTCAGTAAACTGACTTCGCGAAGTTTCAAACCGGTGTCATTTCAGTCTAGCAAATTTTTAAGTTAAGTGAGCTGCAGCGAAAGAGTGCCTGGTTAAGGCTTACATAACAACTTAAATAGTTAGCAAAACACGACTTTTTCGCAGTCCGATAAACAACAGGATTCCGCATGGAATAGACAACAAACTGAATGAAACATAGTGCACAAATTATCACCTTCAAGTTCAAATCTGCAAAAACCGGCCTATGGTGCAATGCCATTAGAGCCCGCAGAAACTAGACCTAGATCTAATTTTCCTGAGTCGAGAGTTGCTTTTCCACGCTACAATCAGCTAAGCTAAACACCGACGAAACAATATTAATGGCTGACAGAAGATATTTGGCGAAACCGCAGTTCAACCACGCGATCACATACCCGTCAACACCACGCGGAAATCACACAATCACACACTTTTGCGGCACCGATAAGACTCAACCTCGTTCCCAGGGTTCTCTCCTACCCGCCCTACGGAGCGAGAGAGAGAGAGACCCTGGAAAACGCTGGTCACGTGTCTCCCAGAATCTGGGAGATTACAAACAAACGAGTTGGGGGAAGGGCAGGTAAGTGTGAGATTTGTCTCTACAGGACGTAGACAGGTCAGTGGGTCAGTGCAGCCATCAAACTGTGTACCTGACCTGATCTTTAACGCGGAAAATAATGCACAAAGTCCTTTGACAGCGAAAGCGTAACTTCCTGCAGAATATCTGGATGTTAATCGGATGTTTATCAGCGATGCTTTCATTTGGCACATGCAACGGAAATCGCGGAGAATTCACCGTTTGTGCAGTCAAAAATAATTTAGGTAACCTGGTAGTAGTATTCATACCGAAACGCACTAGATTTGAATTGCCGTTTATATGTTGTGGAGGCCACTTTAGAAAACAAATGTACAGTATCTGTATGTGTTTTCAAGACTACTATTATGCAAGGCGCCGAAAAAATGTATCAAGCGTTGATGTCCTCGCCCGCGACATCGAACTGCCTCGAAGCCAAAGGAAGAGAGAATACGCGGCTCGGACAGTCAGACTGATTGTTAGCTATTGTTCAAATGGAAAGAGGTAAAGAGAATCTTGGAAGAAAATATTTTTAGCCAAGGCTCTGTGTTTTTGCATTTTTTGTCGTCGTTTATAATTATCAGGATAGCCGTAAGCGTATGAACACGCCGTATGAGGCTTCCACAAATGCCAACCGTTTATTGTTCCTTATTAATTTTCTGGATGTTTACTAGGTATACGTTAAAGGATTTTTAGAAATCACTGAGCCACATGTGTTTTCATATAAAGTTTTCATTTTGGCCATAAACAAGAAAGCCTTTCGCTTGGAAGGTAATGTTGTCTGTTTTGTCTCTGTTTATACTATTTCCTGTTGTCTTACATGTCGCGTTGGTATATAATTATTTTTATCTTTGACCTGTTTACCACTCTTCTGTTGCCGCATCATGACAAAGGTTAGGGGTTGGAAAATGCTGACATTTTAGGCTATAACTTTCCTTGAAGTCACTAGATCTAAAATATTACTTTGATCGTAAATGTATTAACTGAATTTCTTGCTCCCAATGTAACAGCCATGTTTTGTCCCGGGGTTTTGTCACGCCGAACCGCTAGGACCGCAAATGGTGTAGATTTATTTGGCCCGATTACCAGCCGCCGTCAGACAAACATTGAAACTTTTAATATAGAAGTTCAACATACAGGGATTTTACCTTCAAAAAATTAACTCGCTTGTGTATAACTCAAGATCGTAGATTTTAGCGATTAGTGTCATCGGTTAAACCGGCGACAACGCTAGTTTTTGATTCCTTCTCTGGTAATTCAATTGTTTATCAGATAGTTTAATTTTATTTAGCCACAAATTTCCTTTAGTTTCAGTCATAGTTGTAGTAGGGTTAGCAAATCTATCTTGCTGTTGCGATCACTGCGTGAACGTCGCGAGTAAACCAAACAAAAAAATGTGAGACAAAGGCCTCCTCCCTTCCGTTGTTCTGGAGCCACGTGACCAGCGTTTTCCAGGGTCTCTCTCTCTCTCGCTCCGTAGGGCTGGTAGGAGAGAACCCTGGGAACGAGGTTGCGATAAGACTATCCACAACCACGCATAATCTTCTCACGTTTAACATAAGCGAAATATCATCGGATAACTCGGAAAAACTCAGCCTATTGCCAGATAAACACCTCTGGACTTTTCTCTTACACTTGTCTTATTCAAGTTCCCGGATATAGAGTCACACGGTCGGCGGATCACCTTAGCCTTCTTTTCACACCTGGCCCGGGTAAGAGTCCACCGGCAATTTTGCCCCCACCTAATTCATTTGACTCCTATAAGAGCCTGTTCCCGAGGCCAAAGACTTAGTGGTCACCTTAGAAAAGCGAACAATATCGTACCTTTCTGTCTCAGCCCGGATCAGGGTGATTGATCCGTTTAGCCAAAGGAAACGAGAATATAACACGATATTGGACGATGCAGACTCTGCGAATCGTAATAACTTTGTCCCATCTCAGAGCTTTGCATGATGCTCTCCGGGAAACTTTTCTCTGGGTGACCAATATATAAAACTGAACTACTAAACGGCAGCGAAACCAGGTTTAGGCGCCCGCTGATTTCAAACTGACAACTGTCACTTGCGTTAAAGATAGAAATTGTGGGTAGGGGGAAAAATAGGGAGTGGGGGGGGGGGGGTAAGATAGTAATTCTGTCTACATCCACTTCTACACAATTCGCTAACCACAAGACAAGCCCAAAAAATACGACATAAGCAAACAACACAGTAAACAAGCTATTAGACAGTGAAAGTTGAGAAAAATTACAAAATGTTTGCTAACCCGGTTTTCATAACTCCAGGTAGATATGTATATTGAAAAATAGAAAAAAAAACCTATACTTTTATCCCTACAAGCCTGTTTAGTGATTGCTCGCTCTTCAGGGGATTTTAATGACAAGAATACTCATAACCGTCGTTTTTATACAATAGGATTTACATAATCAATGATGCAGTTAATTCAAATTGTGGAAATACAATGTTTAGTTGTTACGTAGTAACGCTTTGTTCCTGCGGCGGCAAGAAGATACAAGTTCATTACGTTTGTTGTAAAAGATGCAATCTCTGCCTTAAAGAGGAATTTTCCGTAATCTGTCGACCTGATTTGTCATCACTTAACTTTTACTTTTTTTATATCGGGGCTGGGAAGCGGGTTTAGGGAGAAGAAATTTTTGGTGCCTACCTTCGTATTGAAAACAAGCTTTTTCATCAATGTCAGCTAAAAAAAGAGAGGAAAAGTGTTTAAAAAGTCATTATTTTTCAGTGTTCTTCATGACTCATAAAAATAAATGCTAATGTTACTACCACGCGTAAAAACTAAGGTTTTGTGCGGTGATGCAGAATAGAATAGAGTAAATATCACTGTGCGGTTTGACGTTCATGTAATTTTGGGATTTTGCAATTCCGAAAAAAATATTAAGTCATTCAAATGGATGTAAAATATAATTGAAGATTAAATTTGGAAATGACATTAAACGTTTTGTCCTCTTGATAGAACCCATCGTCTTATTAAAAACATTTTACAAAGCGATTACAGTAACAGCCGCTTAAATAGCCGATTACTATACTTTAATTCTCAAAATGGCTGTCAACATAAAGAATTTCGAGAAGATAAATACTTGCAGGAATTTTCCAAAACATATTCTCTACCTTATTTACTTGGTGTCTTCTTGCTGCCTGTGTGGTTACTTTCCCGATCCGTTGCGATTTAAGCGATTTCCTTAATCCCGAGTTTTCACTCCTTTTAGTTTATTGCCAACGAGGCAACCGAGCTAAGAAGCGAGGTTGCCTCGGTGGCAGATTTATAATCCCGCACGATGTAGGCAAAAACTCTCAAATTCTGCGTAACTCTCTAAAATTTGCATTTTTGACCATATTTGAGTGTAAGTAAGACCCCATATTTCCGTAGTGACGTCAGGGTCTTGTATTTATACCTCGTGGTCCGAAATAGCCCCTATGCATGATTACGTCAGACGAGTAAATTTCACCAACAAGCCTCGTTTGTGAACAAAATTTTTTGCATTTGCACTTTTTGTGCGTGGGTATTCTTTTCAACTCTACTGCCTTGGGAATTCATTTCTGTGAAACTTCGCTTATTTTTAATTTCAAAACGAGGCTTGGTGGTGAAATTTGCTTGTGTGACGTAAACATGCATAAGGGCTATTGGGTGATTCAGTGTGCAGCTGTTCGTTGTCTGTTCAAGAGGACCTAACAGGTTAGCAAGCTCTAATAGGATTTCTAGTTTGAAAGGGCAATTAGTGCTCTGGTTTGCTTTATAAATTGTCTTTAAAGTAGCAGCTGATCAAGGAATAGGATTTTACGCTCAAATTTTTGTCAGAACCAGCTTATTCTTTGCAGCTCGATTTACAATGAGGTAGCGTGTTCGCTTCTCGACTCCGAACCAGGGTTTTCCGTGTTCTCTTTTGCTTTGTGAACTGAATTTTAAGCGGTAGTTGATCAAGGCATAGGGTTATATTCTCAAAACTTATATCGGAACCAACGTGTTCTTCGCAGATCGATTTACATTGAGCCAGTCCTCAACGTATTTGCGGACCTTTTTTAGAATTTATTCATGTCTTTAGATTTTGTCAACCAGCATGTTTTTTTGATTTACATTGAGACAGCCCAAAACTCCCATGAGGAATGCAACGAATTTGCGGACCTTTTGTTTTGAAGACTATCATTATGCCTTTCAAGAGAATCTTTGACCTGTGACACTCGCTCATTAGATCTTTGTATTTTATTTAAATTTATGTTTTTATACCTCTTATACATTCCGCCCCATTCTTGCGCTTTTCACATATTTTACTTTACACCAACCTTTTCGTATGTATATTACCACGCGAAATATTTTTCTTATCCCTGATGACGCTGTTGCTCGGAATTTAATTATTATTTTTAATTTCAGCAGTCAAAGGCCTCATTTGAACTACATTTTTCTTTCTAACGTTTATAGTTTTGATGCAAGGCAATTTTCTATGAAACATAAGTGCTAACTTGCTCATATTTACCAACAAAGCTTCAAGCTATGTTGTTATTGTTTAATAAAAGCGAAAGCCTAGAGTGCGCCAAAGTTGTTGTTTTGAAGTTGGGTGCTATCCTTTTCTATAGCGAAATCCATTGTAAACCTCTAAAATCATGAAAAAAAAAAAAAATATATATATATATATATCGCGAAGATCTGAATAGGCGCCTTCCACAAAAGATAGACGAGTTCGCCTCGTTGGCACTTGCCGGAAGGTACCCCTAGTTAGTGGAAATAAACTCGGGATAAAGGAAAAAGGAAAATAACCACCCAGGAAGCAAGAAGAAACCAAGCAAATAAGATATAGCGTATTTTTTGACAACTCCTGCGAGTATTAATTTTCTCGAATCTATTACCTGAATTCCCATACAAGTCCTTTATGTTGATGGCCATTTTGAGAATTATGCAACCACGCGTACTCTCATATTGCAGAACTTCGGCCGCTTGTGATTACTAGCAATTACTGTTAATATATCCATGTGCCTTAACACTTAAGAGATGATGAATCAGGTTTAAGCCGTCTAATAGCAATTCCTTACCTTTCTCTGAGGTATAGTGTAGTTTGAAACCTAACCCGGTAATTTTGTCGTTGCTCTCGAAGGTTATCACCATAACATTTGAAGATGATTCAACGAAAGCTGGAAATCTTTCTCCGCAGTATTTTCCCAACAACTTTCTGGACGTAAGTTCACTATATATCTCTAGGGAATCTTTAGAGCAGGAAGGATGATCTTCCAATTGGAATTCCAGAAATCGAAGTTTTATGGTGTTTCCACGAGGAACATTGATGGTCCAGTGGCAACGCATCAGCGGTGGATAATACCCAGGGTGGTGTGGGGATAAAATTATGCCTGAAATTGCGGTAAAGTTTCTGTCGCATTCTGAAAAAAAAAATTAATTCATTGTCATTAAGGCTAAGTTAACGGACGTCAGTCACTATAGTCGTAGAAAAAAAATTAGTCTGTGTAACAGTGTCAAAAGTACGGAAATCATTTACGAATTATTGTTTTGTTTTCTACTAACAGACTTTACATAACTCACAGATCTCTATTGAAAATGCAACTTCATTTAATATAGTCAATCCGGTCGCGAATGTGCGGTCCCCTACAGCGGCAAATCCCCATAAGTCTAGGAAGTACCTACCACGGGTCTTCCACACGAATTTTGACATGTTTCCTTTGGACAGAAGGCCGATTCGTGAAAATAAATAAGCGGTTTCCAAAGTATTCCGATTGTTGCGGATGTGGCCTAAGCTAAACAACACTGCACCTTTAGTTGCCCTAAAGGGCAATGGATGACAGTATCCCGGAACCACGTGAACATCTCTGACGCTAATATAACCAGGTTCGCTGCCCAAATCTGCTTCCAGAGATACCTGCAGAAGTATAGGTTAGTATTCCATTACAGTGTGGTGAAAGAATGAAAAATGGCAAATTTTTAAGCTCGATGAAACAAATGGGACGATGAATTAATCAGCATGTCAAAAGCGTGGGACAAAGAAGATTTTTTTCTTTGTCCCACGCTCATGACATGCTGATTGATTCATTTTCACTTCATATTCCATTACTGTTGAAATTCAGTTGTTATGAAGGAGAAAATGCAGTTGAGTATCTTGGCTAAGAATCAATTAAATTTAAAATGAGCTCAATTTATCACCTCTTGAAACAAGGCATAGATTTACTTTAAAAAAGTACTTTAATAAAGTAATTAATTCTCGAACAATGGCATACAAAAGTAGTATAGAAGGGACGAGATTAACCTTTTTGCGCAGGAAAACATTAACGCCGGTCAACTCTTTTTTGCAGCAATGTTGCAAAACAAACCGTTAATGAGATTCTTGCGCAAAACATTTAATCGAATTAAGCCATATTAAAACATAGCGATGACTTGTTTTTTATTACCTTGTATTTTGTAACACTCGGAAGTGTCACTCTTCCGTATTTCCAGATCACGTCAGTGTTGTTTGATCCGTTCACTGCCCACATCAGCCTCCGAGGGTAGTCAATTAAATCCAGTTGTTGGTATATACGAAGGAAGTGTCTCCCAGTGCCGTAGATGAGATACCTGAACCGTACACAGATTTTATGACCCTCATAAGATCGTTCATACAGTGGACTCTCGAAAAAGGATGTTTGGGGTTGCGACGTGTTGTTATTAAACACCATGAAGCGGTATCCTTTGTTGGAGAAAATAAAATATGACGTGATCTAAGAAAGAGGTTAAGTCATTCAAGTTCATCAAAATAAAAAAAAAATCTCACAGAAATACTTCCAGAAGAAACAATACTTTTTCGTGAAAAATCATTAAATTGATCATGGAAATTTATTGATAGACCAAAATTTCCGGGAAGATCTAGGCTGGAGCTTGTTTTATAACCCATATTGGCGATGGAAGGTCCTCAGCAATTGGGTATTCGAAATTTATAGATTCAAAGAGTTAGCTGATTAAAGGTAACAAATCAGTATACTGTAGCATGTTCATGGTATGTGGTTACTTCAAAAAAACACTGCGTACGTCACCTTTGAAATCTGCACACAAAGCAGGTTTTTGGACTTTCACGTCCCCAACCAAACTATTGATAAACTGCGACCAGGGGAAAATCGCACGTGAAAAGTCTTCGCCACAGCTCAGTGATATCCGCTCTATATCCTCTCTATCAAGGGCTTTGTTGAAGATGTTAACATGGCTTATCAAACCAATAAACTGTCCAGCTTTGGGATCTTCTTTTGCAAGATCCTCTGTCAGGCCAACAATAAATTGACCTCCTCCTGTCGAACATAATGACAGTAAGATTTTCAGAAGCATCGTTGTTTACTTTCTTCCTCCTGACCTACGACCTTTATGTTTTAAAGGGTATTTCGCTCGAGAGGTCATTTTTCATTTTTTTAACTTCCGGTATAAATCAGTTCTCAGTGGTTTCAAGGACATTCCAATAATTCAGTTTTTATCGTGAAATTAACTGACTGGGAGACAATTTACCACGGGAGTAGAGAGAGGTTAACGAGGTAAACACTTTTGTTAAATGTTTTACCAGATTCTCTATCACTAACCTTTAAGTCTTCTAATAGTCATGCAAGTTTAAGGAAAGGGAATCTACAACAATGTTTACCTCGTTTTCCTGCCAGTCTGCAAGTCTCAACCTCCCTCTATGCCAGTGGTAAATTGCCCCTCTAACTGATTCGAGGCAAGAACGAGGTTAAATCAAGTCGGGTTATTTAGTGTCATGTTCCAATCAGTCCAACAAAAACATATATAGCATGACAGCTGTTTGCATACCAGGAATTGTTTCTCCCTCAGAAAATTTCGTTCCTGAAAGTATTGACAAGTCGTTAAGAAAAGTAAATTTCCCGCCTTCAGAAGTCCATACCAAACAAATATGATGCCAATAGCCATCATTTGCCGTCGAGTTAGTTTTTGTCCTAGTAGAAAGGCAGAATGATATTAAAGTCGTGTATTAAAAGAAACCATTGACCATTACCATTATTGCAATATTTAATGGACGATAAAAACAAACAAGATGAACATTGCCCTTCCCGTCAAGAAGAGACAAAATAAAAAGAAATTAGGCACACTTACGACTGCGACCCGCCTACATAAATATAGAATCCTCGGTAGTCCACAAGTGCAATAGTAGTTATGTATTTTCCGTTAGTTTCATATCGGACTCTGTACCATATGGGAGTCCCTGCACTTGTATTATCTGTAGTCTTCATCCAGAAACAGATCGTGAAAGCAACGAGATTTGGAAGATCAGTTATGTTGACATGCCCACTGTGATTTTCAACGAAGTCCAGTTGGTAGTTACTATCCTTTATAAAGTCTGTAGAAAGATAACGTCGACATTAAGGAAGCTGTACATGTGCCACGAAAATTATAAAAATTCAAACAGTGGAAACCGCCACCAAAAGGAGGCACGGATGGACAAATTTCAAGAAGATTGAAACGGATTGCAATTGAGGTTTTTGAAAACTTGTTAGCCTAACAGGTGCCTTTTTAAAAGTTCATTCTCCTTGTCTGTGACTTTTGATATAATGTCTGGGGACAAATTTGTTTGACATGAAGCAATGATTTTGTCGTTTGAAAGTTATTTCTTTACTTACATAAAGTTCCATTGAGAATAAAGACGTGTAATTGGCAATATTGACGACAGGAAATTTGACAGCCATGACATCAAAGCCCCTTTAAGGCTTATTTTGAAGATCACCTGAGTGCAGGGTAAAGCCGTGGAACTCTCGATGCATGCAGTGAATCAAAAATTATTTGATAGTTGTGCCAAGGTTCCATGACACTACACACTCTAGATAAAATGCAATGAAAATTAAACGGAGAAAAATATCCCCATTTTCAATAACCTGGTTCTGAGTTTCCCCCTTTGCTTTGCAAATACGATTTAACTTGCTTGGTAAGGGTTTCCATATCCAACTTCACGGCTTGTTTCCAGGGTGAAACGCTTTGGTTCCAATTTCTCCATCCACATAATCCTTCGTAAAACTGAAAACATCCAGCGTATACTAGAAAATAGTAGAAAACAAAAAAATGAAGAATTTGAAAGGATGATATGTGTTGAAAACAGTATTTACACTGGAAAAGTGCAAAATAATGATTTGAGTGGATGAATCAATTGATGAATTGACTGGTAATAAATTATTTTAAAGAAAAAAGTAACAACAACAACAAGAGCATTGATTTTCCAACACAAAAGATCAACAAAGAAAACTCTGATGAATGATTTACCAGTACGAAAATGAATCGAGGGCGCGTATTTACTTACTAGAACACCACCCCCACATTGGGTGACGCTGGTTTCTCGATTTAACTTCACACCACAAGCGTTCCGAATCCACATTTGTACACGTATTGTGTTCTGTATTCTTGTAAACGAATGGAAATTCGCAGCATCCTCCAGCAGCCGTACTTCGAATCGGACAAAGTGCTCGAGTTGGGCCTGCGTAGGAAAAACGTAGAAACCTAAGAAACTCATTTGTTTTTTATCTCTCTACATCAGGAAACCTATCATCCAAGATACTGCTTACTGTTATACAGTTCCCTCTCTTATGACCACATTCATGAAAGCGGAAGACACCCCATTGAATACAAGTAGAATCTTTGTTGCACCTTACTTGATACTTATCAACTATTGCTAGCAAACTTTTCTAGTAAGTACGCCTGTAACCAGAGTTAAATACCATAAAAGGACGTGATACATCTCTCAATATGACTACCGCACAGGTTGTCGAAACGTCAGTCATTGTCAACAAGAGTCCTTTTCTGGACTACGATCACCCGGACGATCATGCTCAACCTATACCACTTATCAAAAGACTCCAGGGTTCAAACCTTTACGGTACGCCTGTAGTTACTGCAATAAAAAATGCAGAACTTACTGTAAAGGATAAAAGCTTCTCCAAACGTAAGTGGTCGCAAAAAGACCATCAAATCCCTCAGCGAACCATGGAGTGTTTTCTTTGAGTCTTTTTTGAAACCAAGCTCATATGTCGTGTGATTTGTCAGGTTGAGGTCAATATCTTGTCCAGTATAATGCTGTTCTCCTGCAGACGCACCATTCAAGTAAAACTTTCCTACACGGGTAGAGCGATTCCAGACAAACACCATGTGTGTCCAGACTTTTGCATGGATGTCTCTAACAGTAAAGTATTTAACAGTAAATCGATACAGTCCACAATTATTTAAAATTCGAATGCGTTTAAATGTCCTACTCGAGAACTATTATCCATACCACCATACTATATCGCACCAAATTTTTCCCAGGATCATCCTTTTAAGAGCTTTAAGAGCGAATGCACAGAAAAATCGAGCAAAATCGGCAAATCGTGGCCACAGCTCAAAACCTAACTTACCCTCATTTTCAGTCTGTAATAAGGTTTTAATGAGTTTATAACACTGCTGAGGTTTAAATTTCAAAATGCGGCCTAGTTTGGGAATTATTTGAGAGTTTTGATTTCAACGGTCTGCTGGCCTAAAATTAGCCGCCGAACACGGAATATAGCCTAGCGACAGTAACCTGAGATCAGGCTCTATTTCCGTTTCGCTTTGAAAATTACATTCCGGTGGGCAAGGCGAAACGAAAAGAGAGCCTGATACAAACTTTTAACGAAATGTCTGCCGCCCATTTTTTTGATTGATTGACATTTGCCGAATCAGCCAATCAGAATTACTTCCGTTGCTTGTTTTTCTAGTATGCAAATTTTTCACGCGTGGGAAAAATGCAGACTGGCTGACTTAAAAAATAGCTTTTATCTGTTAATTTTTCCGTTCTCTTGATATTTTCCTTGGCAATTTCCCCCGATTTTCAGTACATAAATCTTTAAAAACAAAAGCAAACAGCCAACGAGCGAGGACACCAGTTTTCTTGGTTTATTTTTAACAAAAAGCGTAGTCAAACAACCAGTCTGTGAACACTGAAAATTCCTTGAACAGCGATGCGATATTCTTCGTCTAATACTTCACAGTTGGCGATTGAGGTTTCTTTCGCAGTGAGCCTCCGCTTGCGTACCCCGTTCAGGGAAGTCATTCCCGGCTAAACTTTCAAATGAAACCAGTTTTAAGATGGACAGTATTTTGATTTGCACCCATTTGTTGGTAAATCAAAATGCACCTTGTTAGCGATCAACAACTTGCAGAGTGATTCAACTCCGCGATACACTCACTTTCCGTAAATAAAGCAAATCCTGAAAAGATATGAACAACCACATGAATTTTCTGAATTTCCATGGCACACATTAAGGCATATTTTCCTACCATAAGACCATAAAACAATAAAAAAGACAGCAACATCGATCCTTCTGTCCACCGACGACGGATTATTCACGAAAACAACCACGCGAGGAATAAGCGCTTTCAACTTCCGGCGTTTCCGACAGCCAATCAGATCTTGTGGCATTGTTCTAACAGCCAATCAGCGTTACGGCCAAAATCTGGCCGTAATGAGCACAAACTTGTAATAGTTTGTATCAGGCCCAATTTCAGCGGTAGCCGTTAGAGAGAATGTATGAGAACCGCTCAAATTGGGGCTGTGTATAAAAGTGGGACGGGGACAAGGGGACGGGGACATCGGGACGCATGTGTGGGGACTTGGGACGTGGGGGACGCGAGACGAGGGACTTGAGGACATCAACTATGGGACGCGGGGACGTGTTGGACGGGGACGCGGGGACGTCAAATACAGGAACGCAGGGGAGGCGGGATGTGAATGATTATTGCAAAAGTCGCAGGTAAATGCGATATCAGTCACTTTCCTCGTGAATATGTTTTGGTGAAAGGAAACCCACCCTGCCCTCCTTAGGGTTCCTCCATGCCTGTTTACGAAGAGAAGACTCGGCGAAGAGCCCCTGCATTGAAGAAAGTGAAACCGTTGTCCTAGTCTTCTTGCTGATGGAATATTGGAGCCAGTAGGGTAGGGTGGGTTGCGGTCGCCAAAAATTATGTAGAATAACAGCATTCGATTCCAAATAAATAAAAATTAAGTGGCATTAGCGAGCTTCGAATCCCAAAGTTCTAACTCCGAAATCCATCGCCTGTACCACTAAACCACGAGGGATTCAACTATTGCAGCAATATTTATTTTGTTCTACATTTTTAGTGGCAAACCTAACAGTAAATGCTTGCTAACAGTAATTAAAGGTTGATTTCCACAGACGCGTTTTTGGCTATGCGCAAGTAAATTTTAATCACGTAAATAAGATAGGCAAGATATAAATTGTCGAGATTAAACTTGAAGTTGAGCGAGATTCTACTTTTACGCTTACGTGCGGCCTTTCAGATGTTGCGTCTAAATTTTACGCACGTAGGCATGGAAAAATTACGCGACAGTGGAAATCAACCCTAAACCTGATCACGATAGTCAGTGGGCTTTTAATACTTCTATTATAAAGAAATATCTTGTGTAAACATCATAAGGTGTCCTATGTGGTTTTGGAAGATGGAATCTAATGTTGACCATAAATAACACATTTTCACGAAGAAAGAGATATCGCATTTACCTCCGACTTTTGCAATAATCATTAACATCCCGGGTTCCCTGCGTCCCAGTTTTTGACGTCCCCGCGTCCCATACTTGACGTCCCCAAGTCCCTCGTCTCGCGTCCCCAAGTCCCAAGTCCCCACACACGCGTCCCGATGTCCCCGTCCCCTTGTCCCCGTCCCACTTTTATACACAGCCTCAAATTGGGCCTGATCTCAGGTTAAGCGACAGAAATGAGCTGACTTTCATAAACGAGCAAATATATTGGCAATCTTCCACTTAAATCTCAAAAACCAGATATGTAACAATTTCTGAACGGGCACATTTTTTTAGATTTAGAGTACAAAATATCGACGAACCACAGAATTTTTAAACGTAATTTGCATAATGCTTATAAATACAACAATTTACCGCTAAAACCAAAATCGAATTTTCTATATGGGGGAATTCTTCAAATCACCCCAAATCCCGCTTACTACCCAATGAGATATAGTACTTCAACATCATCTGAAAGTTAGTCTGGTGTTCTTGTGAACGCTTGTAAAATAGATTGATTATTTTGAGGTTATTTCGCCCCAAACAACTGCTATTGACACATGCACGTCACCTTAGTTTTATGCATCGATTTGAGCTCGTTAAAAGGGAGAAACTAACAAGATTCTTTTAATATGTACCTGTTTTAATGAAATACACGCAATCTTCAAAAGGAGAGGCCGTTCAATGGGTAATTTCTGTTCTTGAGATCTTGTAGATTGCAGCATGGCGTCTGCGAGTGGACCTGAGTCTAGGTCTGTTTTCCCGTGACTGCGAAATCAGAATAACATCAAGAAATAATTCTCCCTCGAATCTTCGTAAGTGAATCAGCTTTGCAGTGCCTTACCTGAGATAAAAAGTGAGCCGAATAGCAAAACATTTCTAGCGCAATTTGGATCCTTTGTGGAACGCAGTCAGTATTGCTGAGCGAAAGGTGAGTAAACAAACGTGGGAAAGTACGTTACCTTTGATTGCGTGACCAACCAGTAAACGATAGTCTCCAGCGAAAAATAGGATTCGCAAAAATCTTGCTGATGTATATTTAACAGTTTCTTACTATAAATTTACACCTGGTTTGTCTAAAACTTTAAACAATGCATATCTGTCGAAGAGTATAAGAATGTTTCGAAAGATCCACCCCTAAATAACTGTGGGCTACTCCTTTTTCCCTATCACCGATGTGCACTTCCTTCCCACTGTCTTTTGCATGAGGCTTGTACGCCTTTTTAACTGTTATCGACACTTAAAACTGGCCGTTTAAGGCCTGGTTTAAGAACTTGACTGACTTAAAAAACAGTCGGGAACATGCGCTATTATTGTTGGACTTTGGAAGTTTTAAGCCCAAAATGATGGTGCAATCTCGAGAAATTTGCCCGGGTCTAATTATAAGACAGGGAACGGGTACTAAGAAAGGCACGGTCTCATTTAGAAACCCGTGGACAATCTGGGCATGCTTGCCTTCTGTCGCAGGGGCAACCGTTAAGGCCAGGTACGCCGCCCCCACCCGAGAGGATTGCAAGGCATCCACCATTTCAGCCGCTTTTTCCACATCATGACCTTCAATTATCATGAATTATAATGCGGGCCTTGATCGTTGCCACCTTACCAGAAGTCTAATCTTCGCACTGTTAGACCATGAGAATCTCTATTATTATTCCATAAATGCACCATTGACTTTTCCTTGCTCAGCTTCCGGTAAACCGATACTCCGAAGCAAAAATAGCTTTACAACGACTCTATTCAGGCCAGAACTCCTGATATCAACAAATATACCCCCGCCCCCCCCTCAAGAGAGCAAACGTTCCCCTAGCTATTCACTTGACCCACCCCATCCCTTCGTTAAGAAAAACTACGCACTCAGTTCACTGGACAAAACGCGCTCGTGAATATACCAAACTATAGCTGTTCATCCTATAAGCAATCTCAGTTTCAGCAGGCGTGGCCACGTTTCCAGTTGCTGTAAGATTAATTCAACACCTGCAACAGACACTGTAAATTAAATAGCAGCCACAATTAACAACGCCCTTCTTTGAAACCGTCAGGACGAGAAAGTTTATAACAGACTTAACAGGTGTGCGCGGCGGTTTCCTTTCCTTTCTTCCCTCCCATTGTAGCACTCAAATTCTAACCCTGATATTAACTCTAGTAGTAATCAATCGTTCCTGGGGCCCGTTTCTCGAAAGTCCCGGTAACTTTTCAGGCCCGAAATCAAATATTCAAATCGAAGTAAAAAGAATAGGAGCGCGGCTCCTGGCAAGCAAACTACTCCATTTTGTTTCTTTAACTGATAGTTTTATCATGTTAGATGCAAAACTATTGAAACCTCGATCTTTAATGGAAACCGAGACAGCTTACCGGGCCCGTTAATTATCGGGACTTTCGAGAAACGGGCCCCTGAGCCGATAGGCACAGGGATACCAGTTTCTTGCAAAATATGCTGTGACATCCGTTTGCTCATCTCCCTTTCTGCCTTCGGCCGCTGATTAGGTTTGGCTCTGTACTTTGAAATAACTTTAGGAACGAAGCATGATACGTGAGGGGCGTGTCCGGCCAAGGGCAAGTGACTCTCGGTGGTGAAGACATATACTGAGCTTGTCATTATTTCGTAGCCTGTACCACGTCGCGAAAATAGAACAAGCCAAAGAAAAATAAGACGCCTTTCTTTCCCCAGCCCCCGCAGGTTTTTCGCATTACTTTTTACTGCACAACTGATCCTACCTTTTCGAGCCGGAGCTAACATGGACGCCCTTGGGGCTAAGTTTCCACTTCATTTTCGGCACCTGACTAAACGCAAGCGCTGACTTGTGCGCCTATGCCTCGTTTGCACTGAAGTAGCAGTATATGACCACGACAGACTTTCTGCTATCCTTGATTTGAAACCGC